AGTTTAATTGCATAAAAAAATTATTCTCTTTCCAATTTCAATAAGAATTTACATAATTGCATTACATCTCAACGGCAACAAGTTTGCTATAACTTGGTTTAATTAAACAGTTAAACGTAATAAAATAAATGTATGTTATTATAAAGTTAAAAATTCCATATTTTACATTTATCTTGGTTTATTGATAATTTTGTTTTATATGTTTTTATTTTTAATTTTTTGATTAAAGCTTAAATTTACTACGATTAGCTCTAATAAAATTTCATATACAAATGCTATTTATAACAATTGTGCATTGAAATTTATATAAATGTCTACATGCAATCAAGAAAGTGTCAACAAAGTAAGGGAAAATTTCTGTTCACAAAAGTTAAAAAGATTCCAGCTTATATGGTTTCATAAATTCTTATTCAAGGGGTAATAAAAAAAATTAAAAATATCCTACAGGACTAAATTTTTACAAAACATTTTTTTTTATTATGATTTGTAAATTTCATTCTCACAATCAGGTCTTGTATTTTGATGTGAAATAGTCTGTTCGCGAGAGATTCTTGAGTGATTCGTGTATTAGACTTTGCATAAATTAGCCCTTTGTCACGTTTTACAATAGCGTGTATTCTTGAATAAATCGTCTTCCCCCCTCATCGATTACGAGGGGGCTGAAAACTGGTCCTTGTGTGTCAAAGCAGCGGGGGACGAAGAATCATGTCAGACAAAGAAAAGCTGGTCGTTTTTTTTTGTCTTCCCAATTCGAAGCAGATGAGACGGGCGTGCCCACATTTTTTTTACCGATGCACCCGTCAAAGATGATAATTTTCGTTGCCTTTGTCGCCGCCTGATTATTTTCTTTCTTCAAAGTAAGGCACGCACACCCTTTTAAAAAGAGAATGCGTTTTTTCTGGTAAAAAAAGGTCGATCACAATTTTGAACAATAATAGTAAAAAATAGTTCAAAGCTCTCAAAGGTGTTGGGTGACAAAAAAAAAACATAAAACAGGGCGATTCCCACTTATTCTATTTACTATTGTTGTCCCCAAATAATTCTCAACTAATGAGAAAATAAAAACAACGCCCAAAATTCAAGGGAAAACTAGATGTGTATATAATTTTCTAGAAGTGTTTTTTGGTGATAAATTCCGAGACGGGAAAGCAGCAGTTTGATTACAGTAATTGTGAATGCAAATTTCAACAAGCGTGTCGGAGCTCCCGATATAATATTAGTGGCCGGCCTTTTTTGGAAAGTGGACTCGAGAGATCGAGCAACAGATAAAGCGCGAGCACATAAAAATTGTCACCTACTGCGATCTGGTCGACGCTAATTACATCTTAAATCTCCAGACGAGCTCAGGTTTCACCACTTCGAAAACAAAAGAGACCTGGACCGACTAATTGCCTCTTTTTGCAACTAATCTTGTCGACAATCTTATGTTATTTATTCTTACCTCTATTTTAAAGAGTCTGAAAACTCTCTAAAAATTTATTGAATCTTTTCATATACTTATAAAAAATATTTGTATTTTGTTTGAAGTTTAGATCTAAATCTTCAACAACAAAATTAAATTTTTTTTGAAAATTTTCAGGTCCTTCATTGCTTTGAAAATAACCGAATATATAATTAAACACGCCGACACGTGTTTTCTCATCGTCGGACACGCGCGTGTCGAATAGGAAATTAACATACGGAAAATCGAGAGTTTCGAGAGACCCACCCTCCCTCTTCACACCAATTTACGAGAAGTCTTGTTGAGCCATTAGATTTATTATCTGATCTCATTTCATTCCTCTCGCCTCTCTGCAATAATAATTTTACTCATTTTTAATTGGGTCCGGTGAAGAAGAGGCGGAAGATTTTGAGATTTCGGCACCTGCTCATTTTTCTTGTAATTAATGCGACCCTCCAAATATGTTTCAATTCCAATTATAAAGCTTCGAGATTGATTAACTCTTCAAAAATGATTAATTTCCCATTGTGGAACTTAAGTGAAATTGTGTCTGATAAATAAATCGAAGCTAATTTTTCATTGCTATTGGAAATTATTTTAAATGAAGCAACCTACGGTTCAGATGTCGAACAAAAAGAAGTCGTGTTTCTTAGCTTAAGTGCGAAACAATAATAAATATAATTTATTCCATCTGCTCGCCAGACTGAGAGATACAGACTTCTTTATTTTACGAGTGGAATTTGTTTCAATAAGGCTCTGTGGTCATATAGAAGAGAGAAGAAAAAACTCAATCCCTTTTCCTACCTGTCTAAATTGTAACAAGGGCGGCTCCTCCTGTTCGTCCAAACAAGATTATTCCTCCGTCAGCCGGAATTTCTCTCCTCATGAGAGAGATGCATTATTGGGCAATCCAAACGGCAGGGTCGTGGATTTTAAATATTTATAATTCAGGAAAAGCTAGTATAATTGTCAAATTGAAATACGTTCACTTGAAGAACGAAATAATTTAATTATTTAAAGCTGTAAAACGTAGAGGATAAGAGGGATGGGTATAAACTATAACAGGTTTAAAATAGTATCTGATATGTTGTTTAAAAATTTATTTTAAGAGGAATTTTGGAAAACTTATTAAAATTATTGTGGTTTTTTGCAGAATAATTAGTTAACTTCATTAAACTTTGGAAAATATAATATTTTGAAACAAATAAGTTGGAATAAATTTATTTCAACTTTTATTTGTTTCAAAATATTACAGCTCAAGATTTCACATAAAGTTGGATTATATTTGTATTCAACAAAACACGCAGAAAAATGCTACTGAAGTCTAAGGAAATAAAATAAGCCCTCATTCATTTTGCTTATTTTCTTTTAATTTTTGCTTTTCTTTTGACAGACTTACCAAAAATTTCCCCCTAGTTTGATATTAGTTTTTTTTTAATTTAGTAACTTTGGTGGTGATGATTTTTACTGTTTCTGGGTGGCACTTTTTTAAAATTCTTGTCTATCTCTTAAATTGAATGGAAATTACACTCTGAACTAACGGTAAACCTTTTATGATATGCCACAATTTTCACCCATTGTTTGTTTACTCACGAGAATATTACGTAGAATTTAAAAAAAAATTATGATCTCGACGTTCAGAGTAAAATTATAGACGAGCTTGGCGCCTCTCCCGCCCCCAAAACCTAATGATGGGGTTTTGTCGATAATGACACCCTTCCCGAAAGGGACTCGCTCTCTCGTCGGTGTTTATCTTTCAATTTTTCAGTGGGTGGCAGCCTTTTATTTTGTAATAATATCAGCAGCCATTAATCTGAGATCGACCCGCCGCTACAATATAAAAAGTCTCTCAGAGAGACTTGATAATGTTATAATACGGAGGTGTGCTTTATTCGGAGGAAATACTTCTCAATACACGTGGGACGAATAACGCTGTGATTTATTATGCTCCCTCATTCGAATATCGGAAACTCCCACTTTTGATCGCAAGCGAAGAACAAAGGCTCCCTTGACGGATAAATTTGTTAATGTTGATTTATGGCGATAAAATTAATGTGTGAAATCCTAAAAATTAGTCGGAAATCTTGTTCATCACATTTTCATATGTTAGATCCAAGGATCCAAAAATTAAAAAAAAAGATTATGCGAAAATTTAAAAAAAAATCTGATCCTTTAATTGTATTTATATACTTTTGAGCACTTTTGAGATACAAAATATTTCATTTATGGGGATCATTTTTTTATTCATAAAATAATAATTTATAATTATAACAAAATAAATAATCTAATAATTTTATAACAATTAAAAATAAACTTTTTGGGCATTATAAAATTTGAATTAAAACGTTTGCACATACAAGTAAAATAGTAATTATACGTAATTATTTTAGTAAAGGGTTTTAACATTTTTGAATAATTAATTTTATGCGGGCGCTAAATATTCAACAGGGTGGCTTCCACCGTATAATTTATACTACACACAAAAGTAAAGTGGTGCTAAAATTACTTCTCTCGCTGCTGTTATTTCACCGTTTATTTCCATTTCTCCCTGCGGAATAAATAACAAAATGTTGGCACCGAGACGACAAAACAACAAACGCACTACCAGCCTGATAAATTTCAACAACGCACGCCGCAAAAAGGGCATCGCACGTGCTCCAGCCAGGTTTATTGTTGTGTAGTGTTTGCGTAATTATGATTTAAGGCCTCTTTTGTAATTAGCCTATACTGCGCAGTTTTGATAATGAAATTTGAATGAGTCGCTTTAAAATTATACGCTCGAAAAGTGTGAAATTTTAAGGACAGAAAGACGGAGAGAGAGTTTCAGATTGTTGCAGACTCGTGAATTAATAATTAAAAATTAATCTGGTGGGGCTGCAGAAAAGCTCACCCTCCATTCTAGCCGCAAGTGAAAGGGGTTGACATTCAGAGAGCTAATAGGGGTGTTTTAAGTCAGTGCAGTTACAACTACGAGCCAACACAGTCGTCTGCTCTTTGTGCTTGAATTTTGTTTTCGTTTTACCGAAATTTTTACGAAGTTTAAAGAATTTAAATTCTTCAATTGGTTTTTATTCTTGTAAAATTTAAAAAATATTGTTATTCCTGGTATATTTTAAATTTTTCCTACTAAAATATGATTGAAAACAAGTTTCAAATCAACGGTGTTACAAGTCCTCAAAGCAGACTTTCTCGAGTTTATCATTTCTGCAATCAAAGAGCAATTTTTCTTATTCTTCTTTTAATCATCTTTTCGCTATGTTTTCTCGTCGCCAGTGCCATTTTCTTCTCCAAATGTAAATATTCTCTACAATTTATTTCAATATTTATTTTACCTGGAAATGTTTTATGAATCTCACAATCAGTTGTAAATAAGGAATTCCTATTTGGATGCAGCGTCAATTCCGACTGCCAGTAAAATTTACGATCAAAATAAATAATAAAAAGTTATCACAAGAGTTAAAAATTTCAATCTTTTTTGTTTTGCTTTTACATCTGTGGTTTTTCTATTATTTTCAAACTTTTTTCATCGTAAGTTTTAATGTTTAAATTTTGTTCGCAGATTTGCAAGCGAGGCCGCGAGCGTACCTGAAACAGGGTGAAGTGTGTGCCGATTCCTTCTGCTCTTTCGGCGCCACGTGCGTGCTTGGCAAAAACGGGCAGCGACGATGCCGCTGTCCCGAGAGGTGTCCCACAATTGGTCAGGAGCCGGTTTGCGGTTCGGACGGCCGCTCGTACGCCAGCGAGTGCCAGCTCCGGATGGCCGCCTGTCAGCGCCAAGAAAACGTCAAAATCGTGCAAAAACGAGAATGCGGTTGGAAATAAAATTTTCATTTTTCATTAAAATATTTATTTTATATAATTTGGACAAACAGATTTTTCTGATCCGTGTCGGCATCAAAAGTGTCCGCCGGGAGCAAAATGCGTGCCGGCGCTTGACGGACTCTCTGCAAAGTGCGAGTGTCCGACCGAGTGTCCCCTTTCGTACGGCGACGGCAGCTCAAGCTTTGTTTGCGGCTCGGACGGAATCAATTATGCAAATTTGTGTGAGTTGAGGAGAAGTGCCTGCACGAAAAATGAGGACATCGGAGTCAAGTTTTACGGAAAATGCGGTAAGTTTTTTTAATTTCCATTTATTTCTTTTTATTAAACAAAAAATTGACTCCACTCAAAATATCTGCATTAATTTAAAAATCACAAATTGAAATGTGGCAATGTAGATCCACCAATTTCATTCCAACATAATAAATCTGGAGGAAATTTTAATCAGTTAAACTGTGATTAAATTTCAAAAATTATGTATCACTTTTAAACCAAGAAAGGCAAATGTTCCGTTTTTTATTTTGTAAAATTTCTTTGCTTTTCTTATTTTTTTTTATAACGTCAGTAATATAATATAATAATTTTATAGAATTTATTAAAATTGTCGCTATATATTTTGAAACGCGACAATTATTTTGCCTAAATTAGATAACAAAGAATTAATTATTTGAACATTTAGCATAAAAATAATTATATCTGAAATTATTTAAATTCCTAATTTTATCAAAAAATCTTTTTGTGTTTAATGACTCGACGGACTTTATTACTTTTGAGCCATTTGAACTTTGACGCCTGCCTTTCTCCAGCATAGGCAACCTGCTCGTCACTACTGCAGTTGCCGATTTCTTGATTTATTTCTCTTTTGCAGATCCGTGCACTCATCACGTGTGCGAATCTCCATCGGAGTGCCACTTAGATGAGGAGCGGAATCCGGTGTGCAAGTGCAGTGAACTTTGCCCTCTGGAGCTCTCACCAATCTGCGCCTCAGACGGCAAAACCTACATCAATGAGTGTTCCCTCCGCCAACATGCGTGCCGCTTTAAACAAGTAAATAATTTTAATGATTTCAATTTTTGATTTATTAGATTTAATTATTGGTGGTTCATTGCTGATATCTGCTAATTTTATTTTCGTTAACAATCAGTTTCAGATTGGCCATTATGGCTTGACTTAATATAAATGAATTTGCAAACTATTAACAATTAAAGACTTAATGTAGTAACCAATGAGCAATTTTATCTATTTTTTTTTTTAATATAAAATAAATAATACATAATTAGTATCAATTTTTCAAAAATTATATTTAAAACATAAAATGTATAATTTAAAAAAATATTATTTAAAATCCCTTATATTATATTTGTCATTAATAATTTTAACTAATCTTTTAATACTTTCACTAATTACAATAATGAACTTAATTTTTTTTTAATTTTACCCAAATAATTTAATTGAAACCAATTTTAATCATTTCTTGTGTGTTAATTACAGGACTTAAGGATCATCTATCGAGGAGAATGCTCAAGCGGCGTCAACCCTTGCTCAGGGGTGAGGTGCGGCCCCGGCCAGGAGTGTTCAGTCAATGGCTTAGGAGTGGCAGAGTGTCTTTGTCCCCCGGAGTGCGAGGCCCTGATGAGGCCTGTTTGCGGCGACGACGCTAAAACCTACGATTCCAAGTGTCATTTGGAGAGGGAGTCGTGCCTAGGCAAACGAAGAGTGGCCATTTCTCATGAAGGAATTTGTGGTAATTAAAAACTTATTAGTGATTTTTTTAATTTATTTTATAACTTATTATATAAAAATTGTTGAAAGCAATAAAAAATCAAACCGATTAATAACTAAATTTTTGTAAAAAGGAAAAATTAGCTCAATTAACTATTTAATAATTTTAAAATTAATTGTTAAAAATTTCACATTGTTGTAGGTTTAAATTTAAGTTAAACTAAATATCATATATATTCATCCCCTTTTACCCCATGATCTTTTAGTCAGCGCCGCCACCCCATGGTGGCTTACCCAGTGCACTAAGAGTTCTCACTTCTCCTTGATAATCCAGCGTATTATAATAATGACCAGCACAACTGTAGTTTTTTGTACTTTTTTTATTTCTCTAGATAACGAATATTTAGCTCGAGGTAAAGAAGGTGACTGTTTTTCAATTTGGGGGTCGAGAAAGTAAGCAGGGTTGTTTAAGTGGGTTGGAGTTCGATGCTCTGACGGTCGCGGCATTTAGGCCGGGCTCTCGAACGCAAGCCGCTGAACTCATACTTACCTGGCGTAGGGGTTACCGTGATCAAGAAGGCGGTTCCCTCAGGGTGAGGCCTTTCCATTGCACTACGGTTGGGTTGACCCCTGCGATTACCCCAAATGTGGGTAACTCGGGCGCGTAATTTTTGGTAGTGAGGACTGCGTTCGCGCTGTCCTCTTATAATTAATCAACAATAGTCCTTTCCCCCTAGAGATTAATTTCAATATTTCCCTATTCTTCTTAATAGTTTTAATTATCAATACAATGAAATAAGATTAATTTTTTTTTATATTAAATCAAGAACAATTTATCTGAGATTCTGATAATATGGAAAAAAATTTATATTTTCTAAAAAAATGACTTCATATCAGTAAAATTCTCCTTACAGTAATTTATTTTAAGAATTTTTATAATTTTATTTTGGTGCAGGTTCTGAAGGTCCTTGCAACCACCACCAATGTCCCTTCGGAGGTCAGTGCGTGGACAAAGGTGATGGAGTGCCGCACTGCAGGTGTCCAACGTGTCCGTCGGTATTTGCGCCAGTTTGCGGTTCGGACGGATTTTCCTATGACAATGAATGCAAACTTCGGCAGGAGGGTTGTGTCAGGAAAGCGCAGATTACCATCCTTTACGACGGACTTTGTGGTTAGAGTTTAAGAGTTAAATTATATTTATTTTCTTGATTGAAAATTGAAAATATAAATTCCAGACGGATGCAAAAGCCTGCAGTGCGATTTTTACAGCGTGTGCGAAAGTGACAGATCTGGAAATGCACAATGCGTGTGTCCTGAAAAAGCATGTCCGTCTAACAATAAGGTGGGTTTAAAATTTTTAATTATTAAATTCCTATATCCTATATTTACATTATTTTAAAGGGTGCGATATGCGGAAATGATGGAGTGACTTATGGATCAGAGTGTGAGATGCGCAAGCATTCTTGCAAGGAGAGGAAATTGATATCAGTTTCTCACATCGGAGAGTGCGGTGAGTTTTTTTTGAACGAAAAGTATATTAATTTAAATGGCTTAAAATTTGTTTAAGTTCTATTAATTACCCATTTATCAACAATAATAATATAAATATATTAAATAATAAAAAATTGTTTTAAAAATAAATTTCTTAATAAAAAAATTTTAAATTATTTAATAAAAGATTTTAACAATATTTTAATTTAATAGTAATTTTTAAATTTATAATTTACAGCTTTTTAATCATCAATATTTGATCAATTTTTTAATTTATGGCTTAATAAGTTTAATATCAATAAATGATTTTAAGTTGATATTAATTTTTTCATAATATTATTAAATTTTTTTGTATAATTTTAGACGTTTGTGACAACATTAAGTGCAAATATGGCTCTGTGTGCAAAAATGGCAAGTGCGAGTGTCCGGAAGAGTGTCAGTCCAGCAGTCCCGAGCCTGTGTGCGCTTCGGACGGTCTCACCTACGGCAGTGAATGCGAAATGATCAGGGCAGGCTGTGCTGGCTCGCAAGACCTGAAGATTGAATTTTTCGGAGAGTGTGAAGAGAAATATGGTAATTTATTAAATTTTTTTTATTATAGCCAACACTGAAATTTAAAAAAAGGTTCAACTTTGAAACCCTGCAATGGCGCTCTGCCTTTGATTGACCCCAAAAGTGGACTCGAGTACCACTGTGGTAATGGTTCTGGCAAAAATGAATGTCCTGCCGGCAGCTACTGCCACCAAACTCCAACTTTTGCCACATGCTGTAGAAAAAGTAAGTAGAATATTAAATTAAAAATTTAATTAAATTAGAATGTAAAATCCTCAAAATTGTATGATAGTTAATTAATTTAAAAATTTGGAGTTTTCCAAAACTTTTCTTTGATTAAATGGTTTAATTTTAGGTTTAATTCGCCTGAAGAAAACCTGCCAAGATTCTTGGTTCGGATGTTGTCCTGACGGTGAAACTGCCTCTCAGGGTTTTGACAACAGCGGCTGCCCTGGCACTTGTGATTGCAATAAACTGGGCTCCTTCTCGCACAAGTGTGATGAGAAAACTGGCCTGTGCGATTGCCGGCCTGGCGTCACAGGGGAAAAGTGTGACAGGTGCAAACCCGGCTTTTGGGGCTTATTAAAATTGTCCGAAGGCTTCTCAGGATGCATTCGTAAGACTTTTTGAATATAATTATTGTAGATTTTCATGAAGTAAAAAAATTACAGCTTGCCAGTGCTCAGCTTTGGGCTCAGTTAGGGACGACTGTGAGCAAATGACGGGGCAATGCGTCTGCAAACCTGGGGTCCAAGGTCAAAGGTGCACTGATTGCCCTCGGGGGAAGATCCTTGGCCCAAAAGGATGCATCAAATGTAATTAAATTTGATATAAAAATAATCAGAATTAATTGTAAATAAAATTTTTTTATATTTCTTCAGTAAAAAAGACAAAGAGGAGACCAAGTAGTTGTAGCCAGACTGTTTGCTATTTCGGAGCTATTTGTGAAAATAAAAGTGGAGAACCTGAGTGCAAGTGCAAAATGTCTTGCTCGGAAAAAGAACCTACACCATCTCAGGTTTATAATTATAATTATTATTCCGTCCAACGGTTTCTTAAATATTAAAAAAGAATTGTTTGACAGAATGGGATCACCATAAAGAATTCTGCTAAAAAAAACCAAAGAAATTCTATGATGAAAGTAAAATAGTAAAAATAATTTTATATTATTTCAGACTGTCTGCGGAAGTGATGGGCGAAGCTATGCCACCGAATGTCACCTGAAGCAATTTTCCTGCAGAAACCAAACAGAAGTCCAAGTCCAAAGTACTGGTCCCTGCAAAGGTTAACAATTTTAATATTAAGATTTTAATGCTTGAAAATTAACATTTTTATAGATTCAACTGAAGTGAAGAAATGGGTGAACAACCCCCCTGTTATCAAATCAATCCGACATTTGCCCTCTCAGGAGCACTTCGAGGGCACACCCGTCTGGTGGAGACGTGCAGCTCAAGAAAGAGTGACACCCTCGACCATTTCCGCCCGTTCGCTTCTCGGAGACGCGTGCGACAAGGATTCGGACTGTTCGGTTTCTCACACTAGATGCTTTAAGGGCACATGTGTCTGCAGGGATGGACTGGTTGAAGCTCCTGATCATCAAGGGTGTCTCGGTAAGAGAAAATATTGATTAAAAAAAATTGACGTTTTTTTTATTTTTTAATAATTATATTTACAGCAAATAATTTTAAAAGAAGGAAAGGTTGTGCATCCCAGCCCTGTTTGAACGGAGGAAGCTGTGTAGACCTCGATGAAGGGGTTTTCGAGTGTGTTTGTGTTGCTGACTGGATTGGAATCCACTGCCAAGAACAAGCTGCTACAAAAGGTACAAAATAAATTATCAATATATAATATAAGATTTTAATTTAAAATTAATTTTTATAGACTATGAAGTTCCCTCATTTGACGGCCACTCATTTGTGCAGATGAAAAGACTGAAGGCCTACAACAAAATTAGCATTGAATTGGAATTCAAAACCTACTCGGAAAATGCAATTTTGCTCTACAATCAGCAAAAGTCTGACGGAACCGGCGACTTCATTTCTTTAGCTGTTGTCAATGGGTAAAGAAATTATTTTCAAAAAAATCTTGGGAGTATTATTAATTTTTCCAATTTTAGTTTTGTGGAGTTTCGATACAATCTAGGAAGCGGACCGGTAGTCATAACCTCTCATGAAAAAGTCCAGTTGCGAAAGTTCCATCATGTGGTTGCTCGAAGGTATCAAAAGGATGGGGTTTTAAAGGTGGACAACTTTGGTGATGTTGCTGGACAATCCCTTGGAACGTTGAAGTCTCTTGACCTCTTGGAGGACGCTTTTGTGGGCTCCATTCCAACAGAGGAAAATAAGTTAGTAATTATATATTTTCTTTTCATTAAAAAACAAATTAAATTTCTTGATTGCAATTAAAGCTAAAAATTTAATAAGATAAAAATATATTTTCAATACATATAATAATATAACATACAAAATATGTTAGATTATATTAAAAAAGTAAGTCAAAAATAATTAATATTGAAATAAGATTAAAAAAAAAATTGATCTACGCAACTCTATGTTTTTTCAGGGTCTTTGAAAATATTGGGACTCGGCAAGGTCTGATGGGGTGCATCAGGTTGTTGAAAATTGGCCGCAAGGTGGTCGAGCTGCACGAAGGGCGCGACCCTCTGGTGGAAAAGACGCAGGGCGTCCGAGAGTGCAGCAACGACCACCCCTGCTCCACCCTGCCTTGTCTGAACGGCGGCACCTGTTTCTCCTCAGATAACGCCACCAGCTTCAAGTGCGCCTGTTTGCCAGGTTTCACAGGAGATACCTGCGAACTGAATGCCAACCCTTGCTCTTCAAACCCTTGCGCTCAGGGTGCCACTTGCTTGGAGCTGACCAATGGATTTGTGTGCCAATGTCCTCCTGGAAGAAAAGGACAAAGTTGCTCTGAAGGTATAAAATATATCAATAATTTTTTAATTGTTTGCTACAAAAAAATTAGTAAATTAGATTAATGTTGAGTATTGTGATGAAAGTAAATACTTAGTATAAAAATAACAGGAAAAAATTATTAATTAAAAAGTTTAAATAATGATATAATTTTAATTTAGAAATGAACAATATAAAATTTATAATATTTTATTTTTATTTTTAGTTTAAATTTGCATTTTTATTTAATTTATAGTTGTGAACACCAGGGAAGTGGAAGTTTTCACTCCGAATTTTGAAGGACACTCGTTCTTGGCGCTCCCCAAACTTGAAAGAGCGTCTCGCGCCTTTTCCTTGGAAGTTTGGTTCCTGGCGAGAGCTCCTTCCGGCCTCCTCTTGTACAATGGCCAATTGGTGAATGGCCGGGGCGATTTTGTGTCGCTCAATTTGGTCGATGGCTACGTCCAATTCAAGTTTGATCTCGGCAGTGGACCAGCAAACATTACGTAGGATTTGTATTCACAGTTTATTATTTTAATTAAAATATCTTTTATTAGAACTGAGGAACCAGTGACCCTGAACAAGTGGCACAAAGTTTTGGTGACCAGAATAGACAAGGAAGGTACCCTTCAGGTTGACGATGAGGCTCCAATTAAGGGATTCTCATTGCCTCCTCGAAATGAACTTAATTTGGAGCTACCCCTTTACATAGGAGGTGTTCCGTAAGTAGAATTAATTCAATTAATACTTAAAATTTATTGAGAAATTCATTGATATATTTCTATGATTTAAAACTTAATTAATTTCTTCTCCACTTACTTTTTAAAATTTTTATTTTAAAATAACATATGAATTTGTTTATTTATTATAAAAAATTTCAGCACTTTTAAAGAGGTGCACAGGGACTCCGGAATTACAATTGGTTTGGATGGAGCAATTCAGAGGGTTGTCCTGAACGGCGTGCTCACTGAAGATTTTGTCAAGCAAGCAACTTCCAAGAGGGGAGTCTCACATTACCAGGGTCCACCCTGCGAAGGTTCACCGTGCAAAAACGGAGGCGCCTGTCAACCCATGCTCGAGCACTATGTCTGCAAATGTGCTGCTGATTTCATTGGTCGGCACTGCGAAAGCAGTGAGTTAATTTTATTTTTCAATTAGTAAAAAAAATAATTTGAAATGAATATAGAAATTGGAGAGACGGGTCTGCAAAAGCCGGTGAAATTTTTGGGAGAGACCTTTTTGCACTTTCCCAATAAAGTGCACAAAATGTGAGAAAAAATCTATCATTATTAATTTAAAAGTAAATTAAGTCTACTAACAATTTTAAATTTTAACCCTGTCTGCCAACAAAGTGAAAATAAGGTTGTTAATTTTATAAATTCTAAGTTTTTTCTTAAAAAATAAGTAATTTTTTTGATATTTAGGCGCAAAGTGGAAAAAACGAATAGATACGAGTTGAAGTTGCGGACAACGGAGGAAGACGGTCTGCTTTTGTGGATCAGCAAAGGCAACTCTTTAGCAAATGACTATTTGGCCATTGCCATTGTCCACGGCTATCCGGAGCTGAGTTTCAACTTGGGACGGCAGAGAAACATCCTCACTGTTAAATCAAAGGTTAAAAAATTAATTCTGTTTTTTGAAATAATTTCATAATAATATTAAATCAGGTTTACGTATCGGACGGAGAGTGGCACAAAATTTTAGTGCACAGGAGGAAACGCCTGGCGCATATCACTGTCGATGAAACCTCCCCTGCTAAAGGGGTTGCCGACCAGGGTTCCATCTTACTAAACAGCACAGGACGAATTTGGATAGGTTTGTTAATTTCAAAAACCTGCCAAGAACAACTAAATTACACATTTAAAATGTTAAACTTAAAAAAAAAAAAAATGGTTGACAAAAATGATTTTAAAAAAAGCCACCATATATTTATAAACTCAATGGGAAATATTATTTACTAATTCGGTTCAAAAGTAAAATCTTAAGCTTTTGAGCCGTTTTGCAGAAATCTATCAGGATCTGAATTTTATTTTATTTTTCTTCTATTTACGAATGAATTTAATAAGTAAATTATTTGATTTCAGGGGGAGCGCCGACTCTTCCTCCAGGTTTGTCAGCCCCATATTATTTGGGCTTTAGAGGGTGCGTAGCAAGTGTGTTTGTGGAAAAGAGGCCTCTTGACTTAGCTCGTCAGGCGGCAGGAAACGAACTTTTGCAATACTGTGATGTTGACTGATGTGCGACAGATTGGAAGATATTATGTGCCATTTTTATAATATATATAAAAAAAAACTGTCGATCGACTGATTTTGTGTGAGTGTTGCGAACAAAAATCTGATCAATTAAGTGTGCGAGAATTTTTAATTTATAAATTATTTTTAGTTTATAGAAAGTTTCACCTAATTTAAAAATAAAAAAATGTGCATAAATGAGAAACGTCATCTTTTATTAGAAAATAACGAAAATAAAACACAATTACACACTTATTTTTTTTTTTTTTAATTCTGATTAGTTATTATTATAATCGAATATCAATCGTTAAAAGGTATAATTATATTTTTTGTATGTTATAATTATTCACAAAATATTATGTACTTCTAAATCAAGACAATTATGTTGCTTTTCTTTGGGAAATTTTTATTATTTTTAAGAATTGTAATTGTTACATTTTAATTTTCAGAAAGGAAAAAATCTGCATTTTTTTTTTAATTTTAATTACTTAATTCTGTAGACAGCAGAGCACTATAATCTATAATTTATACCAAGAATTTCGTCTCCCGCGGGATTTTCCAGCACTAAAGATTCGCGCATCTTTTTTTACCTTGCCTTGTGCAATCGCAGGTGACCAATCAGAGAGCATCTATTCTTACATACCCTTCACGTCTCACATGTTTAGTTGATTTTAGTTTGTTTTGTACTTTTTTTGTAGTTATGCTCGTTTCGCTCGTGTGTTCTCCGATATTATGTTGTTGACGCGGGCAGTGATCGAATTCTTTTCCGATCGTTGTTGTTGGACTTTCCACTTGACCAGGCAGGTGTACATAGTGGTGTCCAAACCCGAATCGAATCGTGATAAAAAGCGGAAAAAGCGATTCACGGTCACTTACGGAATGAAACGCGCGCGTCGTTTTTAGGTTCTTTGTCCGATCTATGGACCAGATCCAGATCTGGACTACGAAGATCGAAGGGTATGTATATTATGTATTGAATATTTATACAAGATTGTTGCTTATTATCAAGAGTTTTCTTAATGTAAATGAATTTTTGTGCTTTCCATAATTCCTATGGAAAAAAGCAAATTATGGAAACTGTTTTTAATTTATGAAAAATTATTTTCAAAGTGCATTTTTACTGCATTTTGCGTCAGATATAATTAAAATCTTGTTAAATTTAAAAATTATATTGATATTCTAAAAAAATTGTCAATCAAATTTGAAGTTAATTGAATCAAAATTTAATAATCGCATTTTTTCAGGTGATTTGTGAATGGACGTAATGGAATGTCACTGGACAAAGGTAGGATATTTTTCTGATATAAATGGATATAACCCACAAAATGAAGTGTCCGGGCACGTTGTCGTCCGAACAGCTCAAAATTGACGCACTAATTGCGCTTTTTAAATATTTGACTGACCAGAGCAGAAAATTTGTGCTTGGAGATTTCTGCTTCAGTTTTTTTTGCACAGAAAGACCTCATTTTAATTTGGCATACTATTTTCTTCGTTTTTATCCTGCGCATTTCCAATGGAACTTGGAAGAATATAATCTTTAAAATATCAGATTATGTACAGCTTAAAAATCACATATTTAACCATAAGAAAATCTCTAGTAAAAAAACTATAAGATTCTCGCTTTCATCAGCTTCCAACACCTCCATGAAAAACGTACTTTTTAAAGCAGAAAAAAAGAGTTTGAAAAAAGCAAGTTTATAGAAGTCAATCCAAATTCATTATAAAATTCTACATCAATATTTAGATAAAATTCATATTGTTATGTCAAATTTGCATCTCTCATAATGGGCTGCACAAGATGTTGAGGGTCTCTTTTTGATTGGCCATAACGACGGTTTTATTAGAAAGGTGAAACTTGAGCGCGTCAAACTGCGGATCTTTTGTGAGGTTTTTTGCTCCGACCCAGTTTTCTATTAAAAACGGCGCCTCAGATGTGCACCAACGAGGTTTGCTGGGGCTGTTGGTCAGACTAACCCCAAACCAGTTCCATCGCACCAACGTTTTAACTGCCGAGAAAAATCATAATCATAAAAACAAGGAAAATTAAATATGAAATCTACAAATACAACAAAATTTGCTCAAATCAACTAGTTTGTGATTTTTTAAAGAAAGGAATGTTGAAAAAATATCCATTGCATTTAAAACTTCGTGAAAATCATGCCTCGAAAAACGGAATTTACTAAAGAAATCCAGTTAAAAATTAGTCATTAAGTGTGATTCAAAAGTCTCACGTGGACAAACTTCATTAGACTTTTCATGTTTGATGTTTTTGAAGTTACTTTTGGCCTTGATTTTTGATATTTTATTTTAATGTTCTTCACTTCTTTGATTATCAAATCACCGCCGACTTATGCTTATTTGATCCTGATTTCATGAGTCATATACTTTTATGTTGCATTGTAACTTTTTATAAAATTACTGAAAGTAAGAATTACACGTTGTCGCCGTTAGACAGTTCAGCATATCCAGAGTTTCGATTGAAGCAATTTTGAGGCCGTACTCGCAGCAAACTTTAAAACCTTCCTGTAGAGTGTGCTAAAGTCCATTTTAAATTACATTAATAATTTAATTTCAAATTAAAAGCCAAATGATTTACGCCAACGATCGTTCTACGATGCACAAGCCATTTTTTACCACAAGCAAACACCACCATAGCATTGTTTGAAAGAGTTGATTCAACTAATTGAATTTAAATATGGTGTAATGTTTAATTCAAGTTAAAAAATTAACTCTTACCAAGCGCACTATCGTACAATTTCTTTTGCACCGGCTATATTCATTTTAAAAACGTAAATTTGTAAAAATAAAAAAATTAATGTTACATCAATAGTGCAGTTGTCAGGATTGTAGCAAAATGCTTTTGGAGAACTTTTACCCTTAAAAATTTCAAAAAATTTAACTCATTTATCAAAGTTGGTAAGAATAATTACGACAGGCATCGATTTGTCCATCGCCAAGATGACGTTACTCAACATTTCAGGCGCCTTTTCCTTGCTGCATTTTATAACCTGAGCAGCCTTATCACATTCATCCATTCCACCTTTGTTTTTGATAAATTTTAAGAAAATTTTCAAATTAAATATATTTTTTTTCTAACTAGCTGAATTTTCACAATCGCCCATGACGGACATGCCCTTCTTGAGTTCGTCGATGCTTCCATTAGACATTGTCTCCAAAATTGCCAAAACTTTGTTGTCTAAAAACTTTCCGTCCACCATCTTTGCATTCAACATACATAAATAATTTTAAATATTTAAATTAATTTATTTTTCTTAACTAATCCGGAATTGTCTCCGATGCATCGAATGAAACACTAAAAAGTATTAATGAGAAATAGCGATGCTTTTAATTACTTTGTATACTTTTAAACGTAAATCCAGCTTGCTGGTGTTGTTCAGTAAATTATCAATCTCCTCTAATGGAAAGAATAAAATTTAAATAAAAATCCCACAAAATTCTAAGGGAAGTGGAATATCGCTGCGGGTCCTTTTAAATGGGCTAAATCCATACCCGGTCAGGTAGCAATTCGGCTAAATCCAAAAAGAGCTGTATAGCAAATTGGCTAAATCCACATTTGACCAAAAACGCGTTTGCTTTTGTAATTGGTTCATTTTCACCTTATGGTTCACAAAATATCATTAGATGGCCAAGTTCATATGGCAATATGGGTGGGAAATGTGCCTGATGATGTGCAGTGGTTATGCAGCCATGCCGTACACCGTCGATTTTTGATGCATAATATTAAAAATTTGACTTTTAGTATTTCTGGTTCTGTTTATTCAAATTTAATAATCTTGGCATCGTTTGAAAGCTTATTTAAAGATTTAATACCAACTTATCAAGAATTGAATAAGCGGCAGGATCAATTAATAACCATTAACATAATTAAACTAAATTACTCCAATATATTAAGTGTCATTCTTTTCAACAAGCTGCATGCTGATTTGCTTTGCACCGCTATTTATTTGTTAAAACATACTATTCTATATCTGAAGTAGCACAGAAGAACTTGAAAATTATCAATAATGGAATAATAGTATAACAAATACACAAAAATATCGATCAACCAATAATAAATTACAGACCTGTTTAAAATGAATTATCATTTTTAAAAAAGACTGCTCAATTGAATAAAAATGAAATTAGATATTTTAAAGCAGTAAATTTAATTTTAGATATAATATATGCTAAAATCCACAGATAATTAAAATTCCGCCAGAAAATTTGTTTTCTTTGTTTGATCTCTTTCTCTGTTTTAAACACTCGTACTACTTGAAGCAAACTAAGCAGGATTTTTCGACGAAGCTCGTTAAAATATTTATTGTTCTTTTTGTGTTTATGTATTAATAAAAATTAATAAAATAATAAAACATCATTACATAACCATTAAATTTATGTTAAATAATATATTATTAATTACCGTTAAAAACTATTTATAAAAATACTATGAAATTATTTTTAAAAATTTTATTTATTTATTTAAATTCCAATTAAAAAAATTATCAATTTCTAATGGAAAAAAAGATTTATTAAATAATAGATTTTAATGCACAAGATTTTATTATACAAATTTATAATCTATATTGTTATTATAACTATTTTTAGATTTTTTTTAAGTTTGAAAAATCTTCTAATTATTTGGTACAACAATTTCTAAGCTCTAGCAATGAACAATAATTTTGAATTTAATAAGTTTTGAGAAAAAAAATTATCTACTTAATTTTAAAGTACACAGGACAGTTAAAAATTATCCTATAAATAAAAACAGGAGGTATACCTAGTGCACACCTATTGGAAATAAAAGTGAAGAGAATTTTGCATAAAAAAAGTTACAGCGGGCAATAATGAGCAATAATTTTCAAGCGGGAACTTGTATATCATAGATTTGGAGTAAAAATAATAATTAAAGATTTTTAATATTCATGAGACGTAAATGAAAGTTAAGAAATGTTAAAATTAATTAAATAAAATTGATTATATTCACCGATATTATAATTAAAATCATAATAATCAGCGATATGAGTTCACTTATTATATATATACAAATCAAAGTAAATCGACAAGATGATACCCAAAAAAATGTTAAAATTTATTTTTTCTTAAAACATTTATTGTAAATTTGTATATTTGTTGCCTGCAACAGTAAAAGCAACATTTTATATTTAAATCAATAATTTTATTGGGCTTTGTCAACCCCATTTTAGGTTCCCATTAAACAAATTATTAGTTTGAAATCAATTTAATGTTGCAAAAATATTGTTTATGATGTCCTTAAACATAGTCTAAATGATTGCTACAACCGCGCACAAGGGTTCAGATTTAATTCAGTGTTTTCTTCCTGCTGAAAAGTTTGAAAAAGTGGATTTAGCTCATTTGCTAGCTGACCAACCATGGATTTAGCCAATTTGCTACCTGACCGGGTATGGATTTAGCCCATTTAAAAGGACCCGCAGCGATATTCTGTTTAAATTCATAACAAACTTTGGCTGACATTGTAGATCTGGGCACATTCGTCTCGCACAGCAGACCCTCCAGATTGTGCATTTGCCGTGTCCCTGGCCTATTGAATTCCCCAAAAAAATATTATACTTTTTATTCAATATCTTAAATTTGTACCTCGCAAATGTAGCGGAATTTTTTCATCTCGTCAAAATCAAACAATTGGGTTTGATTGCGAGTGGCGTTAATGAAAACAGCAATTGCGTTTTCTTTTCCACCCGCGTTGTCTGGTTGTCGCGGTCCCCAAATTGCTTCTTTTCGTAAAAGTCGTTTTGCCGTGCAGTAGCCGTAATTCCCCTCGCAACCACGATCGCTGCCAGAGGTCCAGAAATAGTCTTGGGTTTGCAAGTTCCCTTGAAAATCAAATTTTTTTCAAATTCCATCAATTTAATCACAGAAACACTCTCAAGTTTAAGCAAAATTATTGCTGCTGGTGATGCCTTTTTTTCAAAAACAGTAAAAAATCAGTTTTTTCTTCAAACATTATTCGTTTATCTAATTTTAAAATAAATTGTAATAATTTGGAAAATTCACCAATAATCAGTAATAATTTTTCTATTTTTCCTTTAATATCAGGATTTTTGTTTTTTCTTCGTTAGATATTATTTTGATATACCTTTGGCAGCCTCTCTGATTGAATTAAATTTGTAGTCATATTCAAGACTGACCAAAAACATATCCACTTGACAACACGCTGAATGTGCACCCAGAAACTGTAATAATTAATTAAAGTAAATTTTAATTGGTATTATTTCGAGCGTTTTAAAACCGTTTGTGTATCGTTTGGGTAGCTGAACAGGAATGTTCGCCCGCGATAGTTGCTCCAATAACCATGCTTAGTCATATCTGAATAAATTCAAAAGTAAATCATAATAATTAACTAATTTAATACAGAACCTACCGGCCAAATAAACACCACTTGAGGAGTTTTTGTAGAAATTATTCTAAAAAATTTAAATTTTAACTCATGAGATTAAAAAAAAAAAAAAAAAAATAGCATTGAAATACATTCTTAGCGCAGGTAACATTCGGACAAGCTGGTGAGCTGCAAGGCGGAGCCGGAGTTGGACGGCCCTGCAGAAAATAATTTCATAAAATTTTCTTAAACATTTATTTTTCTCTCGAACCTGGCATGCGAATAGAAACTCTTCGGTACAAACTTGATCCGAAATTTGAAAGGAGGCGTTTGTTACATTGATACGAAGACAATTTTCGCTGCCATTCGCGTTGTTCGGTTGTCCGACGGCCCAAGACACTTTTGATTTGTCCAGCGCGATTGAACCGCTTGCTGAGCACCATGAAAAATCACTTGTGGTTGCACGAAGACCAGCTGTCCAGTAATTTGAACCGTACTTCCAATTTGAAGCTTGGAATATTTTTTTTTTTTAAGTTTGAATTTGAAATTTTTAGGGAATTACCAATATTCCGAAAGCACTGAGCTTTTTCTGAACTTTCCAGAGTGATCGGATTCATGCCAATTGCCTGGCATTTGATTGAATTTTCACTCCAAGAAACCTTAATTAATAATTTTGCATTTTTTCAAACAAAAGCACAAAATATCGCAATGTTTTTACAAGGGACTTTCCAAACAGATATTGCAGGTTACAGGAAATTTCCCAGTAGCCATATCTATCCGGCTCTGCGTAGTTTTGCGGAAATTAAAAAAAAAATAACATTTAATAATTTTCTTTACAAAATACCTTTCAGTGAACCGTCTGATTTGAATAGAGAAGCCTATTTGTATAAAAAATTATTCAAACATTAAAAATATAATTTATTTGAGCCAAACATTTTTTACTGATGTTTCACATTTTTCTTTTATAACAGTTTTCTGCAGAAATATTAATGATAAATAAAATCAAAAAATATTATATTCACCGACTTTTTGTGTTGGAGTTGCAGTGGTTGCTGAACGTTTCGTCGTAATCAAAACACTGGTTTGTGTTGGATTAACTGATGTACTGGTTTCAGTTGGTTGAACATAATTTGTTTCAGTTGGTTTAAAAGTACTGGATTCTATTTGATTAAAGGTGGTAGATTCAGTAGACGAAGTAATTTCGGAAGTTTTTTTAATTTCGGAAATAATAGAGCTGACAGAAGAGCTCAATTCCATGACACTGGGACTAGATTCCACCCTATAAAAAATGCTTCAATTTTTTTTCATAAATTAAACTGCGAATACCCAATGGTTGTGTCCAAATCTCCAAGCGGCAGTACATTTTCAGTACTTGCTAATCCGCCAGGGTCGATTTCTGTCGCATATTCGGTAGAAGAAGTTGTTGATAGCAGATTTTCCGTTTTCTGCAAACTCATGGTTGACGCTGTTTGTCTTCTGGTGATTGACGAATTGGAAAACGGCCCTGTCGAATCTCTCGGGACGCAAGAATCGCCTCCGCAGCATTTGATAATGTTTAGTTGATTAGACCTGCGTTGCCCTACCAATTTTTAATTTGATTAAATTTATTAGACGGATTAGACCACTCGTCTTTAATTGATGAACCAGGTTTTTTCCCTGAAACGGCACTCCAGGCACTGCAAATCTATATAAAATAGAAATGATATTTTAATTAGATTTTGGTAATTGAAATTTTGGTCGTGCATACCATCCCTAGTTGAAAAATAAACAAAACCAGCGATATTTTCATGATGTTTTATATCGACAGGGAACGGAATGCGAGTGAAAATTTCCCATCATTGCATTCTCTTGATGAGAAATTGTTGGATTTCCCCAAAAGGCGAGAATGTTTTAGAATTAACCTGATTGGAACTTTTGTTATGAAATAAATTATTGAGTAATTCCTATTCATAATTGGTCCTGTCGTATGTAACATAATTGAAATAATTAAAAAAAAATCATGTAAATAATAATTTCTTTGTCAAAGGTAGATGAAACTACTGAGTTTCTTTTGTGACTTAAACTCTGCGTGGGAAAAATATGAATTTGACTTTTTAGGGAAAATTTAATTTCTTTGAGGACCAGTAGAAGTAGAAATGCAAATTAGAGCAGTACAAATTTCCTAATGATTCTGGAAATATCATTGAAAATTGAAAACTGCGCTCTTCACAAAATGAAATGCTGCGAGTGCAAATTTCTCTTTATAATTGTTTCCTATCCACAAGAAATCGTTGGAGTTTCCACCAAGTTAGAAAGTCCCGAACTTACTTAACCAGAAAAAAATTATGACTATGTATGTATAATTATATAATACCAATTTCATTATATTAAAAATTGTTTTCAAATAGTGCGAACTAAGTTAAAGAAATTGTTCAAAATAAATAATACTAAGTTAGATGGAAATAATCGAACCTTTTGCTGAGATTTTATTTGCAAACCAAATTTATTGATGACAATTTAATTTTATTATTTTTTGATCAAACATTTAACAAAAATTGATCATTTTTAGACACACAAGGCAAAGTTAGCAATTTCTACAGCAGTGTTTAGCACTGCCAGTGACTTTTCAGTCATTTTGATTCCATAAGCAAACGATGATGTGTCCTTTGGCGGGGTGACAAACGCAAAACCCGCTGTGGAAAAGGGCCGTGTAGAAGTGCACCAGCGTGGGTTATCTGGACTGTCGAAGCCACTGCCGGCCACCCAAGTCATTCTAGGCGATGCGTAATCTGTATCAAAGAGCACAAATATTAATAAATTATCCACCATACATTTAAGTAAAACTCGGATGAAAATATAGATAGTATGTCTACCATTATATATAAATTTCTAAATTTTTTAATACAAATTTTATGCATAGATTTATTTTTTTTTAAATTTCTTTAAACTTACAAACGTCGTAGAGGCATTGGACCATTTCAACATAATCAATTGATACCAATTTCAAACCATACTGGCAACAAATGTCATAGGCACCCTGGAGGGTCAAATCTCTTCTAACGTGAAAAAATTTGTATCCGCAGTTGGATCGCACGTCACCGTCAACGAGCGTAGAACTAGGAGCAGCAGACTGAAACGACTGCTGAAGGGTTGCCTAAATTAATAAACTCTCTAAATTTAATAAAACTTAATTTTTCCAAACGATCCTTTACGTTGATTGTGCAAGACATTTTCGGACACGTCGCAGTGGGGAAATTTTCCAGTTTTTCCTGTCAATGTTTCAAATATTATGAAAATTTTTACTAATTATTGAAAAATATTTTTACTAAAGGAATGGATTTATCGAGGGACATAATGACTCCGGTCAAGACGTCAGGAGCTTTATCCTTTGTACACTTGATCAATTGGGCCGCTTTATCGCACTCGTCCATTCCGTCTGGTATAATTTAAATTTGCATAATATTTTTTAGAAATATCTATTTTACTGGCGGCGTTTTGACAATCGTCTTTGACAGCGATATTTTTCTTTAACTCGTCCAGATTTCCGCCCGCCATTTTTTCCAGAACTGCTATGACATCGTTATCGACAAACTTCCCATTCACCATCTGCCAAACTTTGAAATAAAACGATGAATTTTAAATTTTTACAGAATACCAAGCCTGCATTCTCCCCAACGCATCGCAAGAAACACTTGTATTTGTAATTTTAAATTATTAAGATTTTACAAATATTCTATTGCAAACCTTCAAGCGGAGGTCTAGTTTGTCTGTATTGTTCAGCAGATTGTCAATTTCCTCTAAAAATTGCAATTAAAATTATTATTATTTGTAAATAAAAATCAACGGTCTGAATAATGAGATCAATGAGACATTTGAGATTAAAAAATAACGATTAAAGGGATTAAAATTATTAAATTGTATAAAAACAACTTATGAAATAATAATTTTCTGAATTTTTTCAGAGCCTTTAAGAACTTTTAACCATATACTTTGAGTCACGTCATAAACGGTTGAGCATTCCTCCCTAATTGCGGCACCTCCAGACTCAGCATTAGGTGTGTCTCGAGCCTCGGTATAAACACATTTTGAGCATTCAATTATAATTAATTTTAAAAAATCACTTCACATATGTATCTGAATTCCGTGTCTTCGCTGAAATCAGACAAAGCTATGTTAGTGCCGTTGACGAAAACGGCCACGGCGTTTTCTCTTCCGCCCGCATTGTCCGGCTGTGTTGGAGCCCAAATCGCTTCTTGTCGTAAAATTCGTTTTGCGGTGCAATATCCAAAGGCACCTTCACAACCGCTGTCAGAGCCAGAAGTCCAAAATATATCCGCTTTAGAAACACTGCCTGATAAAATTCAATTTAAGTTAATTTTTTTTTTTTTTTTTTAATCGAACCATCTTTAATTGCCGCTTTTATTGAATCGTATTTGAAATCATACTCGAGGCTTAACAAACTCATTCCTATCTCACAGCATGCTGTCATTGCTCCGGTAAACTAATTATAATTTTAATATTAAAAGCAAACAACTTCAACCCTCATCAATACTGTCTTTTTAATTTTCAATTGACTGAACAGAAACTTCCGGCCGCGATAAGAAAACCAAGTTCCATGCACTCTTGGATCTGAAGAATTTATAAATTCAACGTTTATTTTGAATATTTAAAAAGGCACCTTTTAAATAGGTCGTCACATTGGTTACGTAGAAAAATGGCTAAAAAGCAGAGATTTAATTTAATTTTTAAGTTTAACAGTTTTGCTGAACATTTTTCGCGCATGTGATGTTTGGGCATGTGGGTGATGAGCAGTTTGGTGCCACAGTTGGACGTCCCTAATTTATAAATTATTATTATTTAATATTAAATTTCTTTTAAATTTTACCTGGCAAGCGAGAAAGTATGATGCATTACATGAAGCTGATGATAATGTGAAGACAGAAGCGTTTCCACGACTTATATTTGTGACCACGCAGTTTGAATTAGGATCGTTTAGTCTCTCTACTTGCTGCTGAATTGCAACTGAACCGTTTTTCAAGCACCAAGAAAACTCTTTTCCGCTCAGTTTGAAACCAGATGTCCAATAATAAGATCCGTACTTCCACCTAGAAACTTTTTTATTTCTTCACTAAAATAATTATCAAATTTAAAAAATATTCAAAATTACTCAGGCTCTTATTGAAGCATTCCAGTTTCTCTCTACTCTCAAGCGAAATTGGCTCCATTCCAATTTTTCCACACATCATTACATTTTCCCTCCATGTTCCCTTGAAATTTGCAAGGTATATGGCAAAATACAATGCAATGAAATTTACCAGGGATTTCCCGAACAGGAACTGATGACCGCAGGCTTCTTCCCAGTAGCCATACTTTTGTGAATCTAAACCATTGTTAATTTTTTTACCCTTAAAAAAACGACATATCAACATAAAATTATGTTTAAAAAGTTCCCGTCAAAATTCACTTATAAGCGAAAAAGCTCAAGGAATTTTATCAGATTCTTTTGTTAGCAAAGAATTAAATTAAAAGAAAGATCACTCACCTTTAACTGAATTATCTTGGTTTATGAGTGACATCTGATTACAAATTAAGAGTTGAATTAATTTTGACTATATTCTAATGTAATTTTGCAAACGTTTGTTTGAACAGTCAGGTTGCAATTTTCTTCGTTCTGAGAAATTCTTAATATTTTCAGTTATTTAAAAGAACCTTTTACCACAAATACTGTCGCTGTTGTGGTAGAAGTTTGAAGAAAAGTGGTTGAAGTGGTTGCAACTGATGAAGAAGATGCTTGCTGGTCATTGCCCAAATTGCTGGCAACTGTTGTTGAAGAAGAACTGGCACTAGTCGCACTGCTACTTGATACTGGCTGCTCTGGTGCAACGCTACCAGTTCCAGAATTATTTTCAGAGCTAACTGACACAGGATCGGCTTGACTTGAAGTTTCAGGATTTCCCTGAGTTGCTGAATCGCTGACCTGTCCAGGATTTGCTACTTCGGCACCTCCATCAGAAGCTACTGTGGTTGTCTCCTGGTCTGATTGTGCATTGGATCCTTCATCCTGATCTGCTGGTTGCTGGTCTTCAACGTTGGCCCCTGATGAGGCTTTTGTCGTCTGTTTGTTCTAAAATTTTTATTATTTTTGGCACTATGAAAATATTTTTAATTATAATTTTTTCTTACCAAAATCGCTGCTGTTCCATTATTGCCTTTCTTCTTTGAATTGATGCACGAATTTTGGCCGCAACATTTGATAATCGCAGCCCGAAGAGCTATTTTGTTGTTTTTTGATCCTTCATATTGAAACAGAAAGTTAAAAATCCACTGCAAAATAAACCTGATTAAAAATTACTTGCTAATTTTACTTTATATCGATCGGCAGCCATCTCCACCACCTGATAACAATAAAAAAATTAATCGTTATCAGTGCCCGTGAAAGTTAAAATATTACCATGAAAAGGATAACAAGGAGAATTATTGTGGAGGGCCTCATGGAACTTCGTTCAGATATCGATTCACATGCCACAGTGACAACAGTGTTTGCGTGGGTTTTTTCGGAAAATATATTGCCTGGAATTTCCAAACAATTACTTTGCCGCAATACGTTTTATGAAACTTTTCAACCTTCATTTCTATTGTTCCCCAGGACTTTGACTTTAAAGTGTCCCGCATCCCATAGTATTAATAAAATAAAATAATAAATATTTATATATTGCCGTTTTTACGCACGAACTCGCTCCGCAGCACTTCAAAATCGTGTGTCTTTTACTGCCTGTTTGAACAACGTTTGTTGATAATTAAACCAGACAAAAACACTTAATAATTTTTCAACTTTTCTTAGCTTCAGCTGCTGCATACAACACAAGAGCCTAGAGAAATTTTTATATAATTTAGGTTAATGTATTAAAAACACTTGTCCGAACCAAGATGAATATAACAAACTGAAATTTTTTTCCCATGGTTAGTGTGTGTGACCTGCGAGCCAAGCTGAAAAAACAAGCATATCAGTTGGAGCTTGATGTGATGGAAAATCCCATATTAATTTCCATTTTTGCTTGGTTTTCCCACGATATATCCATAATTTCACTTAATTACCTACTTTATAACGAAAAACTAATACTAGTTTTTCAACTGCTCCTATTTAAAAAGGCATCGCAGAAAAATTGTAATAAAATTTAAGAAGACATCTTAAACAAGTTTGCTGAAATGAACGCATTTTTTAAATTTAAATTTTTAAGGCTTTATTTTTTTTATCAATAAGAAGCTTTTATTAAGGATGTTGATCAAGGTAATTCACACAAGGGATAGTGGACAAGCAATCTATCAGCTGCAGTAATTTTTTTCGCTTGGAGTGATACCATGTAAACCTCTAATTTCGTGCCAGGTGCAGAATCCGTCACTGTGCTAAATCCATTGAAAGAAAATGTAGCGTTTGATGTGCACCACCGAGGAACGGTGCTGTTGATTTTGCTCGAGGCGACCCACAAATCAAAGGCATCTAAGGCCGTGCCTGTGGAGTTTTAAAGATCGTCCCCAGTATTGTTTTATCTTGAAAGTAGACAAAATTTCATGACGGAAGCAGAAATTGCGATCGAGAAAGTTTCACTTGCATGAGAATAGAAAAAGGGATTGAAATTTCCTGCCAAAAGCATTTGAGCCTTCATGAAAGTGTCGATTTCAATGTTTAGAAGTATTTACGTGTTAATTTTATTTATTTAGTTCAACATGGTGATTCATCCTTTATTAGTGAAAATTTTATATTCATGATCTTGATTTCATTCACGAAATTTTGTGAGAAAAAAATTGCTCTAGTAAAGAGTATAAATTAAAAAGAAAAAGTTTGCGATGCTAAAAAATTAAAATATTCTTACTTATCCCAGCCAAGCATTGAATTTCTGCTGCGGTTTCAATAGATGCAAGATCCATTCCGTGAGAGCAACAATAAGTGAACGCTTGCAGAAAAGTTCCTTGCTGTAAATAAGCGGCACTCAATTATTGATAGTTTGTTAAACTTAATTTTGTTCCTTACACCGTTGTAAACTAGGTACTTCTTGCCGCAAACGGTTCGCACGTAACCTTTGGTAACCGTGCAGTTTCCAGTGCAGCTGGTCACTTCATTTACGTAAAGTGGCTTGCCAAAGAAAGTTCAAAAAGACAGGAAAAATTATAGCCAAAAATTCTTACATTCACATTGCAGTTTTTTGTATCGTAACAGAACGCTGGAGGCGGCATTGCAGGTTTTTCCTAATTTTCAGTTTTTTTTTCTTTTCATTTTAGATTTCCTAGGAAATTTTGAATTTTATTACAATGGGCATAGACTGGTCCATGGTCATAATTATGCCGTTAAGAACTTCAGGCGCTTTCTCGCTACTGCATTTTATCATTTGGGCCGCTTTGTCACACTCGTCCATTCCGTCTATTTTAATTGATTAATTAAAGTTAAATAGGACACAAATTTGATATGTTTACATGTTGATTGTCCACACTCGTCCATTACTTGCATAGATTTCTGCAGTTCGGTCCAATTCCCAACAGACATTTTCTCCAAAGTGGCCAAAACATCATTCTCCACAAACTTTCCGTTCACCATCTGATATGAAGTTAAAAAAAAATAAGAAAAGGCATTCATTTTAAAGTAAGCTCAATGAGAGACCAAACCAGCGTTTTCACCCAAACACTTTATGAAACACTGAAAAGTGAAATCATTGAATAAATTATTTTTTACTTAGAAATTTTGTATAAATATTAGCTTGCCTTTAATCTTGTGTCTTTTATAATGTTAGGGTTCAAAATACTGTCGATCTCAGCTGATAAATTTCATAAATTAAAAAAAAAATGACATCAAATTTAATCATTGAATACCCTGACTGACGTTGTAAATTGCAACACACTCGTCTCTAACAGCAGTTCCGCCTGAATTTGATCCTGAAGTGTCCCTGGCCTAAAATTGCATTTATATTTTTTGTTACAGAAGTTCTTTGTCACTTTTTACCTCGCAAATGTATCTTAATTTAGAGTCCTCATTGTAGTCAAACAACTGCGCTTTTGCCGAATCGATGAAAACAGCAACAGAATTTTCGTTTCCGCCAGCGTTGTCCGGTTGACCTGGAGCCCAAACGGCCTCTTGGCGCAAAATCCTTTTTGCCGTGCAATACCCGAATTTTGACTCGCATCCGCGATCGCTCCCGGAAGTCCAGAAATAATCACTCAAAGATGCATTTTCTAAAAACAAACTTTTATTCACGGAAATTTTAGCAATTTTCTATATTACCTTTAATGGCCTGAACGACTGATTTGTACTTGTAGTCAAACTCCAAACTCAGCAAAGTCATCCCAACCTCACAACATGCTTGCATCGCTCCTAAATACTAATTATCTTATTGTTAGTTATATTTACCAAATTTAGGAAATTTTAATTTTCTTTACACTGGTGGTTTTGTTTGTTGAACTGAATAAATAACTCCGTCCGTTATATGTGAACCAACTCCCATGCAAATTGGGATCTGAAAGTAATATTTTGTAACACATTCTTATCTAATTTAACAATTATTTATTTTATTAACTTGTTAAATATTGCGATTTTCCCATATTTGTGTAGAAAAGTGTCTGAAAATTGTTTATTATCATTTCATTTTTTTCGTTTTTTTCTTTCAATTTCTTACATTTTTTGCGCAAGTTACATTTGGGCACAGAGGGCTTGAGCATGTTGGGGCTGGAGTTGTTGGTCCCTGTAGATTTAATTTTATTTATTCTACTACAAATTACACTTTTTTCAACTTGCTTGACATGCAAAAATCTGAGGTTCGGTGCACATTCTGTCCGAAAATGAGAAATTTCCATTCGTTCTTGAGACGTTGAGGTGTAGGCAATTTTCGCTGTTGTTGAAATTTTGGGGCTGACCCACCACCCAGGAAATTTTCGTTCTTTCAACTGTAAGTGACCCTTTTTTGGTACACCACGAAAAGTCACTTCTGTTCACTCTCAATCCGGAAGTCCAGTAATTGGAGCTGTACTTCCACTTGGAAACTGAATTTCTCTTACCAACCCGTTATTGAAATATTATTTGAATATACCCAAACTTAAGAAACAGTCACGTTTTGTTGCATCCTCAAAAGAAATTGGTTCCATGCCAATTGCGTAGCATCTGATGAAATTGTCTCTCCACGTGGCCTGGTTTTAAAATTATGATCAATTACATAAAAATAAATTGTGTGGCAACCAAAGATTTTCCAAAGAGAAACTGTTGCCCGCACGACTGCACCCAAAATCCATATTTATCAGGATCTTTTGCATTCATTTTTCAATTTGAAAATAAATAACTTCTGAAAAGTATTTCTTAGTTTTAACCTTTTACAGTCCCATCATTGTTAAGCAAGGTCGTCTGAAAATTTAATATTTTATTAAAGCGCCTGAATTGATAATTTTTTAGCTTAAATTATTGTTACATCTTTTTCAAACGTAGTTTCACATTTTCCAAGAACAAGCTCCTGTGATTTCAAACGACGTTAATATCATGAAACTTTTCTTTCTTGTATGTGAGTTTAAAACCTCATTAGTGGGAGGTTTTGTGGTAGTTGTGATTTTTGTGGTAGTTGTTTCGGTTGTTGTCGATGGCATCATTTTTGGCGCAGTTGGAGTTACATTATTTATTGTGACTTTTGATAAAGTGGTTGATATTGTATTGGTTATTGAAGAAGTTGCTGTTAATGCAGTGGTTTCTGAGTTAGAAGTGCCTGTGCTGTCTGATGTGGCTGGTAAAACTGGTAAACCAGAGCTTAATAATTGGTCTACTGCTGATGTGGTTCCAGTTGTTGGCCTGTGTAAAGTGTTAAAAGTTTCAAACAAATTAAGTATATTTTATTGACGATTCGGTAGTTTGTTCTGAAGTTGCAATCTCATTGATTGGAATCTCTACAGTTGTTATCTCTTCAGACGGAAGTGGAGTTTCGTTTGGAGGATCGGTTTCTGCTTCTGCAGGAGCCGTTTCTGGTGACGTGGATGACTCGGTTTTACGTTCCATCTGCACAGAAAATAATTTATTTCGCGCAATTGGTATTGCTTTCTATGTTTTAGAAACTATAAAAAGCAAATGGAAAAGCACTTCTTTTGAAATCAAAGAAAGGAAAGGTAAAGAACAGTGTCTGTCTGTTTCAGATTTTACAGCCAATTGAAAATAAATAGCTGATGGTATTTTTTTTTTTTTTTTCAAGTTAATATTTCAACAGAAACATATATACCGTGTTTTTGGCGCTCGTTGTGTTCGTAACCTTAATTTGTGTACCAAACGTTTTTGAACACGATTTTCTCCCGCAGCACTTGACAATTGCAACTCTTCTGCCACCTGTTAAAATCACGTTAAAATTTATCTTGAAAACCATGACCTGCAACTAACCTTTCTTTGCTTCAACTGCTGCATAAATTGTGAGAGCCTGAGGAAAATTCAAAAGATATAAGTTACATTAATTAATCACACGTTTGAATCTGTTTGAATAACCATAACGAGAAGAATCAGTCGCCACGGCAGCCAACTAATTTTACCCATGGTTGATGCGAGTCTGGTGATTTATGCCTCCATAGCAGCCTACCAAAAAATAGCTTCATTAGTCGCCAACCAAAATGCTGAAAAACCCACTTAGATCATTTGGTTTTCCCAAATATAAATTTATTTTCTCCAAATAAATGCTAATCATTTCTAGATATTCACAACCAGTATAGAAAGAGTACATATGTCGTAATTATTTCCAGCAAATAAATATTGGCAAAAATCTGTTAAATAGTTTAAAAAAACATTATTTCAATTTAGGTCGGTCAATAAAGAGTTATGTTTTAAAACTTGAAAATTTTAACGTCATTTCGTTTTCAACTTAGTATTAAGATTCTATTGGAAAAAAAATATGGTAAATTTTTATGAATGTACTTATAATATATTTTTTTATTATAACTTTTACTGCATTCAATAAATGCCTCAGAATGGTACTGAGCTGGTTATGTTGTTATTTTAAGTTGAAGCTTTCGGAAGCTGAAAATTCCCGCTGTTTGGTTTTCCCCTTAAAATGGACAAAAAATAATGCCGCACTCTTTTGTCACCTAATTCAAAATGATAGATTTGAAAATGTTGTAATAATATTAATATTGACCTTTCATGCGTTCCGGTTAGTTTGATGGTGCCAGGTATATTGAAAAAGTAACATATTTCCGTTTTAATACGATAATTTTTGCAGTGATGGAAAAGAATTTAAATTTGTCAAAATAACTAATAAAATTTTGACACTCGCATGAATGATATGAAAATTTGCTATTTTTCGCATACTCATGTTTCTGAGAAAATAAGTTGCAGTGAATAAATTCTAAAATCGCGCGTTCACTGATCAATATACTTGCTGAAAAGTCTTTAAATTTTCAATTGTTTATGATTTCTTATTTATTATAATTATGATCGATTAATATGAAATATTTAGTACTTACTGTTAATATTTTATGGTACAATTTTTATCACTAATCATTTTTTTTTTATTAGATTTTTTTTGTAAAAATCAATATAAATACTTATTTGCTGGTTGAAAAGAGCGACCTCTGCCAAGGCGTCAAAACGTCAAAGCTGCTCTGTTTGCTTCTATACACTCAAAAAAAAAAATCTCAAATAGACCCGTTTACGGCATGTATGGCTGACCTGGCGTTTTCGGCCGAGTTAAACATGTAAATTAGACTTAATTATGAGCCTCGTAGGTCAATTTGAACAGGGAGAACGACGAAGGGAACGTACCTTTCCGGCGGCGAGTCAGACTGGCCTGGGAGCGGCTCTCCCGAGTCAGTTAAACTCGCTACGCTGCTGCGCCGACTGCAGTGCTCCTTCTCACGTTGCATTTCGGCCGATTTTTTTGCTTTTTCGGGCCGAATTTGGGCTTAATCTTGACCCCGACGAGACACGATGCACTTGGTAAACAAAGAAAGCCATTACTAATCATATTTGGGCGTGTCCGATTGTCATGTGGGAGAAAAGCGAGGACGAGTTTAGCAACCCGACAAAGTTGTCCCGAGGGAATTAATTAATATCTCGCTCTGATTGAAAGTTTTTTAATTTTGGCGATCGAGAAGCTTATATTTCTAGAATAATTAAGGCATGAGGAAAATCGCGGTGTTATTTATTTTTTAATCCGAGCAGCCGTTCTCGCGCTACGAGCATAAATACGCGCCGGCCTCTGCTTGTCGCTTCGCTCGACTCTCTCTCGCTCGACTGCTGCACTCGCGGCGGAGAGCGGCGCGCTCGATTCATTAGACGTTTGCGCGAATTTTTTATTTTATTAGTAAGCGTTGAGATAAATCGTTCAAATTTTCAGCATTGGTAGAAAACAAACTGAAATAATTTTTTATTTTTAATTCTTAAAAAAATATTTATCTGGAGCAAAGTTATTAACGTTTCCGCGAGAAGTTTGTTTTTTTAATATTTAAATTAGAGGGACAATTTTAAAAATACAAACCCTAACAGAAAATTGAAGCTAATTAAATTCTCTACAATTAATTAAGTAAACGTTTTGTTGTCAAAATTTTTTTTATTTGCCAACGGGATGACCAAAGTCAAAACATTACTTTTTCTCATTGAAAAAAATTTTTTGGATTTTTTCTGAAATAGCCAATCGATTGGAAATTTAATTTTGATTTAAGAACTCAAATTTCATCAAAATATATTGAGCCGTTTAGAAATCACAAAGTACTAACTGATGTCACCTGAAAGTGCCGTCGAGGCCGAATAGCAGGTTTTAATCCATACGCTCTTGTTTCAAAACGGCTTAATATATTTTGATGAAATTTGAGTTCTTAAATCAAAATTAAATTTCCAATCGATTGGCTATTTCAGAAAAAATCCAAAAAATTTTTTTCAATGAGAAAAAGTAATGTTTTGACTTTGGTCATCCCGTTGGCAAATAAAAAAAATTTTGACAACAAAACGTTTACTTAATTAATTGTAGAGAATTTAATTAGCTTCAATTTTCTGTTAGGGTTTGTATTTTTAAAATTGTCCCTCTAATTTAAATATTAAAAAAACAAACTTCTCGCGGAAACGTTAATAACTTTGCTCCAGATAAATATTTTTTTAAGAATTAAAAATAAAAAATTATTTCAGTTTGTTTTCTACCAATGCTGAAAATTTGAACGATTTATCTCAACGCTTACTAATAAAATAAAAAATTCGCGCAAACGTCTAATGAATCGAGCGCGCCGCTCTCCGCCGCGAGTGCAGCAGTCGAGCGAGAGAGAGTCGAGCGAAGCGACAAGCAGAGGCCGGCGCGTATTTATGCTCGTAGCGCGAGAACGGCTGCTCGGATTAAAAAATAAATAACACCGCGATTTTCCTCATGCCTTAATTATTCTAGAAATATAAGCTTCTCGATCGCCAAAATTAAAAAACTTTCAATCAGAGCGAGATATTAATTAATTCCCTCGGGACAACTTTGTCGGGTTGCTAAACTCGTCCTCGCTTTTCTCCCACATGACAATCGGACACGCCCAAATATGATTAGTAATGGCTTTCTTTGTTTACCAAGTGCATCGTGTCTCGTCGGGGTCTAGATTAAGCCCAAATTCGGCCCGAAAAAGCAAAAAAATCGGCCGAAATGCAACGTGAGAAGGAGCACTGCAGTCGGCGCAGCAGCGTAGCGAGTTTAACTGACTCGGGAGAGCCGCTCCCAGGCCAGTCTGACTCGCCGCCGGAAAGGTACGTTCCCTTCGTCGTTCTCCCTGTTCAAATTGACCTACGAGGCTCATAATTAAGTCTAATTTACATGTTTAACTCGGCCGAAAACGCCAGGTCAGCCATACATGCCGTAAACGGGTCTATTTGAGATTTTTTTTTTTGAGTGTAGTTGCTTAGCAACTTGTTTTCTGTTGATGTCTTTGTCTTTTCTGCAGTAAAAATTTACAGAGAACTGACAAACATTAGCCCGAAAGAGCTTGCAAAGTTTTAAAATAACATGGGTCTGCTGACCAAGCTGATGACCATCCTGGGCTTTAACAGACGTGAGGTCAACGTCCTCGTGGTCGGACTAAACAACAGTGGTAAGTCCACGCTGGTCAACCAGTTGAAGCCGGACGAACAGAGGGCCACGGAGATCGTCCCGACGGTGGGATTCAACATTGAGAAATTCAACAGTTAGTACAAACAAAATTCGCACACTTTGAACTTGAGCAAAAATTTGCACGGTTTTCAGAATTTTCATCGAATTAAAACGCAAAAAAAAAAATACGATATTTGGGGAACTTTTTTTAAATCCCTTGGCAGATACCGGAAAATAATAATAAGAAAAATAATTTATTATAGGTTCAAATTATTATTTTCTACGAGGAAGATAATATTTTGATGAGAAAACAAGTTAAAAATTAATTTATTTTAAAATTTAGAAAATTTAAATCTTGATATTGAATTAAAATTAATGAAATTAAAATTAATTTATAATTAATTGGAAATATTATAAATTTAAAAATTCATCAGTTTGAGCTTTAAGCTTTAAATCTCTAATAAAAAATTTGATTTCGAAACAATTAAAATAAATTTGTGACAAAATATAAATTAAAAGAACATTTCATCAAGAAAGTGTTGGAAGTTGAAATTAACTATCAAATGGATAATGGAGCAAAAAGACTTCAACTTTTCTTTTCAACCTTTTTAAGCAAAAAATTGGAACAAATACCAATAAATTTGTTATTTATTTTCGTCTTGAACCAATTTTGCCACTTTTGACAGGAAGGGGATTTCCGCGCGTTTCTTTTCAAAAGGATAAATCCCTTTAATAATAAGCACTTAAATTAAATTTATGCGAATTTTGATTGCTTTCTATAAAATGTTGGATTGAAAAATTATTAGAGCGTATATAACTTTTTGAATTTATTACAAGTTTATTTTATAAAACCTATTCTGCTCCCGATTGAAAGAATATTAATTCAAAAACTAAAATCTTTCCTTATTATTTTATTTAACATATTTGAATTTTTCCTGAAAAATATTTATTTTAAATTTCCAGATAAAAATGTGGGCTTCACTGCTTTCGATATGGCTGGACAAGGCAGATACAGGGAGCTGTGGGAACACCACTACAAGGACTGTCAGGGCATAATTTTCGTCGTCGACTCTTCGGATGGTCTTCGTTTGGTCGTGGCTCGAGATGAACTTGAGGCCCTTCTCGACCACCAGTATATTAAAACGAAAAAACACCTGCCCATTCTAGTTTTCGCCAATAAAATGGACGTGCGTGGCGCACTTTCGGCAGTTCAAGTATATAAAATTATTTATATTTTAAAACACTTCACTTTAAAAATGAAAATTAATTCACAGGTTTCTGCAAGTCTTGGCTTAGAAAATATTTCCAATAAACCTTGGCACATTTGCGCGAGCAACGCAATGACTGGAGAAGGACTTCAGGAAGGAATCGAATGGCTGACGAACCAAATTCGACAGTCCGTAATGCTCGAGGCATCGTCATAAATTACAAATTTCTTTTATTATAATAAAAGTAAAGCAAAATTCTAGTCTTCAAATTCAAATGATATTAAATTTTCCAAGTTTATCAGACTGAAAAATACAGACTAAAAATCCTAGGCACTATAATATTTAGTTAATAAAACATGTGAATTTTTAATAACATAAAATATATTATTTTATTTTTCAAAGGTTACTGTTGCAACATTAGAAGGAAACAATTCTATATTATCATGATTGTTGTACCAACAAATATATGGGAAAATGGTTTTGTTTTCAAGTGGTAATATGTATTTATTCTAATGCCATAGTTCAGTTTTTTTTATATCACTCATTTATTACTACTCATTGCCTGAGCCTCGAGTTTTCTGCAAATTTTTTTTAATTATTTTGTAGTTTGAATTAAAAAAAAAAAAATCTGAAGTCTTAGGCCATTTGAGATAATGCATGAGATTCAATTGCACAAAACTGCCATCAAATTGAAGACAAAACGACCGAAATTAAAAATATAAATGTAACAGACTGGCAACTTTCCCGAAGCAACGAAATCAGACTTCTAGTTGAATTACACGGAATTATGAGAGGGCATTTTTTAAAGAATAATAATACGGATCAACCTTTCTGAGGTTTTTTTTTAACAAAATGCACTTGTTTGTTATTTTTTAAATTCAATATAAAGAGGAGCCTGCTCTAAAAAAAAATGTTAATCGTATCAGCTCCAAATGAATTGCTAACAATAATGATTAAAATTAATGTGTGATAAGTTCTCACTCACTCCTTGGTAAAAATTAAAACAAGTAGTTCCACAGTTCTTATAAATATTACATGTTTGTTTGGGGGAACAACACTAGTGGGCTTAGTAACAATGTTGTAACCTAGGGCCTGCCTTTTTCTGTTGGAAAAGCTTCGCTAGCCTCACAGAACGAGGGCCCTGAACCGACTAGGGGAATGACTTTACAATAGAACAATTAGGTAGTGCACTCAAGTAACCATGATCAAGTGAAGTCGATAATGTGATAGTGCTTTGGTTAATGCTCTTCGATTATGATCCGAGAGGCCAACAACAATTTCTAGACTGTTTTAAAGAGAAAATAAAAAAGATTCAATGTTATCAGACAACTCAATCAAAATCACACTTTGATGCACCAGGCTCAAATACACACACACATGCATTAAAAACACAAGAGATTGTGAAATTTTTCAAGTTGATCGAGGGTGAACCACATAATATTATTTAATTGTCGTAGAACAAAATGTGTGTTATAATATTGTCTCTCTTGTGTTTGATGACGGGATTATGGAGGAATTCCAACAACTTCAACAATCCATTAGTAGTTTTGTCGACCGTAGAGGTGTATGTGACAAACAAAAGGACTATCACAGTCGGTTGTTTTGTTTGCGCCCTCACAGGCTAAATGATGAAAATTTCGTCTTGATGGGTGAGCAGAAAGTCTGTGAACTGGTTAATCGGTCCAATGGACGACAGCGTCATTTGGCCATGCTGTGGCCATACAAGGTTTGGACCAAACACCACGGCAAGGTTGGCTGAGGTCATTTTGTTCAGGTCACTCCTGTCCATTACCTTCGGAAGACAAATTATATAATTATAATAAGGACAGTTTTAAATTAATTCACCTTGGATAGGAACTGCATGATATATTTTAATGTCCGGTAATTGTCCTCAGGCAGCTTTTCAAGGATCATGATTTTTACAGTCCTGGATCGTTCCTCCTTACCAAGGGTTTGGAAGGTGCTGATTTCGTCGTACAACTCGTACGTCATCAGAGGTTCGTCTAGCTGACGGAGAAACGTCTTGAGCAGCACGGCGGCCATGTGGACGTCCCCGTTAAAGTCGGGCTTGTGGCCCATGTTGCACTGACTCTTGAGCTCCCTAACCAGCACGGTTGATGCGGAGCGTCGGAATATTCCCTCAGTCTCTAAAGCTGCAAAGAAAATAGTAATAATAATTATATCTGCATTTCCTTCATTAAAAATTTGTTTCCAAAGTGCTATTAATTTTCATGCTTGACAATCAAAATAAAGGTTTTTTTCTGCTCACCGTCAGGCTGGCTGAGAAACTCAACGCATTGTCTGACAACAGGGGGGATGAAGTCATCGTCCGGCGGTGAGTGGTCTCGAATAAATTGCAACGAAACGCCAAATTGCTGGGTTGGCAGTTGAGCGTGGAACACAGAGCCAGCGGTGGTGCTCAATTGATTGTTTTCTGGCAGTGGGGGTTGTGGCTTTTGCGATGGTCGCAGCTTCGCCATCAATCGCTCATCATGTCTGTTGCAATAGAAATTGATCAAAAAATGAGAAAATCAAAAATTAGTTCTTAAAATCATAGCGCAATTGCAAGGACATTAATTAATGTTCATTGTTAACAACCCAATTTGGAATCACCAGACATTATCAAATGGAATTTTGTAAAAGAAAAATTAATTTTCCCTTGCAAAAAATAATCTTTTTCAAATAAATAATTGTTTTTCATTTCTCATTCGATAATTATCTTGTCTTTTTATTTTCATCTTGTCCTAGATTCTTTTGGAGCAATTTTTAGTGCAATTTTCTATTTGTTTCAGAAGAAACTTTGAATATGATAGAATATATTTACTCACTCTAAAACTGGCTGTGGAATGTGCAACTGGTCAAAGTGCAGATGTTGTCTCAACTCATGCAGGTAGTTGACGTACATTATCTTCCGACCGAATTTCGCACTAAAATTATCAAATGAATTTATTTATTAGTGTTTTGAACCCGTAATTAAATACCCAAAGTTAAATAATGGCCTCCATCGCAAAATGGGAAATCTGGCAAATATGAACATCAGAAATATTTTAAATAAAAACGGAATCATAAAAGAAAACTTCTTGTGGAGATGTTAACAAGGCCAAAGCACAAGTCACAATAACCCGCCAGCGCATAGCAGGGTGCTTCAATTAACCACAAGTTCTGCATGAAGAACGGCATGACATAATTGTAACTCGATCTCTAGTAACAAGTTTATTCCAATAATAGGAGTTTCCGTCGCTGTGCTCCTTTTGTTGGGGTGCAGTGAAGACCATTATTACATGTTTTTCAAGATCACACAAGGAGACGTACCTGATGACTGCTTTGAACAACTGCCAAATGACTCGAATGAAATTGGTCGGGTGCACCAAGTAGAGAGCTTTGAGGTTCTTTTTGTATTTGCGGTCGAACGCTTTGTACGCCTGCCACAACCACGACATGGGCGGCTTGTTTTTGCCAGTGAGGCCGTAGTGGAAGTAGACGAGGCTGTAGTCCTCTTCGACAAACTGGTCCAGCGTGGCCATCAGGTAGCGCAGGAAGCGAACGTGGTTCAGTTCTTGGTTGCTCGGCAATTTGCATGCCGACACAACTATTACCTAAAAAAAAAAATCATAAATTATGTAAATCTTTACAATTAAAAAAATTTAAACTTGAAAAAACAAATTATGGTGTTTGCATTAGAAATTTGCTTTATTACCTGATGAAAAAATTATTAATATAAATATAAATGATCAAAAAAAATTCGATTAAAAAAAATAATATAAAAAAACTTGGAGAAAAAATATTGTGTTTGCATTTAAAATCAGCTTTTCTTCAATGGCATTTTTTTTAGTGATTTTGGCTTCGTAGAAACAAAAAATAACAAAATAAACTAATTGAAAAAACCCATCCGAGGCTCACTTTGGCGGATGGGGTCTTTGTGATCTCGGAAGTTTTAGTAAAATTCTTGCTAGTGGTGCAGCCTTTTCGTCAAAGGTTTTTTTTTTTAATTGTGATCCCTTTTTTCTTTTCTAATAAATTTGTTACAGCAATTGATTGAAAACAATGTGATGTAACAAGTTGGACAACAATAAAAAACCAAATTAAAACAAAATAAATGTACCCTCAATCGTGTAATTTTTATTTAAAATTAATAAATTGTCATTTTAATCCAAAAATGATTCATTGAAAGAAGTATAAATGTTTTTAAATCAAAACTTCTTCTATAAAAACAAGGACAATTGTTCTACTTTTTAAACTAAAATTTGATACCGACGCAACAAAATTAATTGTTGAATATTTTGACCGGTCCTGTAGGTTGTTATTATACCAACAGAAAACAATCCGACTGTGACGAATAACTATAACAATTAAGTAGAGCACCAGTCACAGCTGCTGATTACACACAAGCTTCAGCAGATAAGCGCCGACAAGAAACACTCCGCCCTGGTTCATCTTCTAAAGTACAACCAGAGAGCAAAGAAAAAACGTTCAAAGGCATTAACGAGCCACCGAAAATAATATGCAAATGAATATGTTCCGAGTCGGCTTTCAATAGACACATAAATAATGCAAAAAAATGTCTGTCTGATAAACATTCTGTGTCGTGAGAGTTCTGAATGCAAAGAATATCACAAAGTTTTTCACTGCTGAATAATTAATGTATCCCAGCGAGGTTGAAGGTGAATCGATGAAAAATGTTTCGATTTTTGCCAGAGCTACGATAAAACAAATGGAGGAAATTTATTTCACTTCAGCATCGACCATAACGCATTTTTATTTATTTTTGTGCTCTGTGAAGCAATGCGGTATAGGAGATAATAGATAATGTAACTGTTGTGTATTGCACCGGGAGTAGTTTCAAGCACACTTTGGGCACAAAAACAATTGGGAAATTTCTTGTCTCGATAAGAAATCTCTGAAAAATATGTTTGAATAAAATAAACAATGCATGTTAATTTTTTAACTATAGAATGTTTGTTATAATTTAGTATTATATTTGCAACAAAAAATTAAATAAAAATTAATCTATTTAAAAAAGTCTAATTTAAAATATAATTATTAAATTTTGACATTATTATTGAAAAAAAAATTATAAATAAATAATTAATAAATTATTAAAAACCAAACTGATGTTTAATAAATTTATCAAAATCTTTTTTCTTATTTCGCTAAATACGTCAATTAGAAATATCTTCATCCACTTTATAATTAAAGAATGATTGAAAATTAATGATTTTTTTTAACTCTTATTTACCTTTCGCCCGTAAGCATCGTCCCCTGCCACTTCAACGATCTCGTACTTGGCCACGTCGCTGAAGTCGTCCTCCTCCTGGTCCTCAACTGCGGCCGCCGCTGCAGCAGCAACGGGCTTGGTCTCGTCCAGGAAGACGAGGGAACTGTCCGCAGCCAGCTCCTTTTCGAAGTTTTCCTCAATGGTGCCGTCCGAGACGGGCGACTCAAGGTACTCGTCCAGCAGGTCCTCGTGAGTCTCTAGAATCGTGTCGCCTGAAGCCGCCAGTTCAGTGTCGTCAAACTCGAGGTTCGGTTCGTAATCGTGGAAGTCGGACAAACTTGGGTAGGGCTCCTCATGATCAGCTGAAATGTTATCGGAAAGATTATTTCAGTCTTAACAGGTAGGTGCGTAAAATAATCTAGTAAATTTCAGGTGTATGATTTCCAGTTAAAGAATGCAAAATTATTGAATACTAAAAAATAGGCTCCCAAAAAATAAAATTTAAATTTTTTTTTTTTTTTTTATTGCTCCAAGATTAATTTTTAAGTGGAAACCTAATTTTTTCTGACATAAGAGTAAGAGTAAAATTGTTTCTAATTAAAGGCATATTAATTTTAAAGACCAAAACCACAAGCAAAAATAAAATCAATCGCTAACCAGAAACAGTCTAGTGTGCATCTTTTTGCGCATGTATGTAGCTTTAGCAGATAAGATTAGTTTTTTACTCTTATTTACACTGACACGCAATAATTCAAACATGACAGAGGCGTCCGCCATCCAATTCGGATCAGTCAATATGAAGAAAAATTGCAAATTGTCCAATAAAAGATTAGTAACTTTGAATGAGAAAAATTTGGCAGTGGAAATTGATCGTGTCGCGGTCGCTAAACTCAAAACTAACCGGCCACTCCTCGCAGTGGACTCCCGAATCTCCTGTCCATCTTCTTAGCTGGACATATTCACGGCGTTCTCGGACGAAATGGGCGAATCTGGGTCGGACAGCGGCTCCCAAACACAAAACAGCAGGGCTGGCCACGGGCTGGGCTTGCAGATGTGCAGTGCAGCGGGGAGAAAGTGGACAAGCCCACAAAACCGGTTTTCGCAACCGCAGGCCACCGGTTGACGAAATCTCGCAAACACTTGTCGAGCCGCCCACACGCACTTTTGAAATTTTATGGCCCTTTAAGCCGTGATATGCAAAATCTGATCGTTTGGTGGCCTTTTATTATTTGTACAACGATTAACAAACCACTGGAATCCGGGAGGGACCAACTGCTCGCATACCGGTTTACAAAACGCACCCTTGGCGTAATCGTTTCAACAATCGATATTTAATTTCGGCCCAAAGGAACTGAAAAGTGCCAACGCGCAAAGGCGGGACGCATTGATTTTTGCGCAAAGTGGGCGAGTTTGGGCCGCCAATCGATGCGGAATTCTCAAAAGGGGGCGTTCAACCCTTTCTTTGCTCACCGAGACCAAATCATATGTTTTGAAATAATTCGGCCCGTGTTTCTTTCGGATGGATGTGTGCCAATTGATTGATTAATTCATATATTTTTGGCCGCTCATTGAGATCATAAGCCAGACTTTGATTCCGACGCCGAACGATAAGATAAAGAACGAGCTCTTTGCTCTTCTCGCCGAATTTCCGTTTCCCTTTCTGTTTTAAATTCATAATTAGATCAGGCCCACAAGCAGAAAAGCATGTCGGAGGAAAAGAAGACAGCGGCTCCGGCCACCAGCCCTGTCAAGTACTTCCTGTCGGGAGGCTTCGGCGGTATTTGCACCGTGGTCGCTGGACACCCGCTGGACACAATCAAAGTGAGCTAAGAATTGGTTGCATCACTGAACCTTACATAAAAAATGTGTCACTCGAGAAAATGACTCATGACCTTTAAATTTAATTAATAACTAGGTTACAATAGTTTTGTAATAAATTTTAAAATATACTCTGTTTTTAATTTATAAAAGTTGATTTATATTTTAATATTATTGCTTTCCTTTTTTATTTGCCAAATTTTTAAAATTACTTCTTGCTTTATTTTATTTCAGGTCCGTCTTCAGACAATGCCAAGGCCGAAGCCTGGTGAGGCCCCTCTTTATGCAGGAACCCTCGACTGCGCAAAAAAGACCGTCCAGCGTGAAGGATTCAAAGGCCTTTACAAGGGTACTCTTAACTTTTTTGTTTAGTCACGCAAGCGAATAATGATAAATATGAATTTTTTAGGTATGGCTGCCCCCATTACCGGTGTTGCCCCAATTTTTGCCTTGAGCTTCTTCGGTTTCGGAGTTGGCAAAAGACTGCAGCAGAACTCGCCAGACGAGCAACTGACGCAGGCCCAGTTGTTCTACGCTGGAGCCTTTTCAGGAATTTTCACCACCTCCATTATGGCTCCAGGCGAGAGAATCAAGTGCCTTCTCCAGGTATGTTCTGCATAATTTTTTTGAGAAAAATACACGATTTTTGTTGTTGAAATTTTAGATCCAGCAGGGCGGAACTGCCCCGCAAAAGTACAACGGTCCTGTGGACTGTGCCAAGCAGTTGTACAGGGAGGGAGGAATTCGTAGCATCTACAAAGGCACCATGGCCACACTTTTGAGAGGTAAAAAAAAATTCACTAAAATTTTAAACGTTTTTAAAATTTTCAGTTTATTTTTAAGCCCTAAATTTCATAAAAGTTAATCTTTCTACTCATTTATTTCAAACAAAATTTTGATTTTAACCAATTTTCACTGGTGGTCATATGTCTAATTGAAAATTCTAAATTTGTTGTTTATATTAGTCTCCAATGTTGAATATTTCCAGTCCCTGTTTATTAATGAGAATTCTCCAATTGTGCCAGTCGTTTCAGCTTCTCTTGCCGTTTGCGTTCCATCTCCAATTTGTGTGCCTTCTTGGAAATTTTAACCATTTTTCCGTCGTGCAGAATAGCCATAAGATTATTGTCCTCTTTTGGTATTGGTGACAGTTCATTTTCAGGCTCTGCATCAATCTTGGCAACTTGCTCCTCCGGCAGCTCATTACTAATTTTATTGCTGATTTCCTTGAGCTTGGTTGTTTCCACAGACCTGGCAGTTGTCGACGCAACAGTAACTTTATCCAGTTTTGAAATTTCTGCCTTTGAAGTTTCGGAAACAAGTCCCTCAACTTGATTTTTCTTCACCCCTGGAAATTACAATTTGAATTAAGAGGTGTGCATTTGTATCACCGAAATACTTACAGTAGCCTTTTTTGACTACAAATCTCCTCTTCTCAATAATCTCCTTTTTAATGTCACTCAAAGTGCATCTGAGCTCTTTTCGTAACACGTGGAAAACGCTCCAGTTCTCATACTTTTCTGGCGTTTTGCATTTGGGAGCCACTTTTTTCTCAAAGCGATACTGAGTGCCTTGCACTGTCACTTCCGGCGCTCCCTTTGCGTCGGAAACCTGAATCGTCCGGTCAACCTGCATTTTGACTTTGTTGACAGACATCGGCCGCCACTCTCGCATTTCACAGGTGCAGTGCCAGGGATTCCCATCGAGACGAATCATTTTTGCCGAAAGCTGCAATTATTTGAAAATTTTTAAAAATTTGACCAATTTGTTAAAATTTCAGAAAACTTTTATGAAAATGTCTTCAGGGAGTGTTGTGAATTGATTATTCTGAAGCTGGAGCTCTTTCAGCGACGTCAACTGATCAAAAATTTTGGGTGGAAGGGAGGTCAGTTGGTTGTCCGAGAGATCCAGCACCGAGAGGCCAAATAAACCGTAAAAAGCGTCCATGGAGATGGTTTTGATTTTGCAATCTTTGAGCACCAGCTGCTCCAACTTTGTAGCCGCTGAGAAGGCATCGTAGGCGATTTCATCGATTTGACCCTGAATCCGCAATTTCCTCAACCTACGCGCTCCCTTCAGGGTTGACAAATCCAAAACCTCAGCTTTAGCATTTGTGATAACAAGAGACCTGCAATTATTTTTATAGTTTCGGCATTAATTTATTATGTTTTAAATTTAACCTAAGCGAATCCAGTCCTGAAAGACCACTTTCCTGAAGACTCAGCGGCGTTTCTCCTCCCAGGTAGAGTGACTCGGTGCGGTTAATTACTTCAAAGGTGGATTTGTAAACGGCCTCGATAGGGTTGCTGCGGAAATCGACCTCCAAGAGTTGAGGAAAGGGTGGTAGCGAGAGTTCCGACAAGTGCGGCAGGTTGTTGTAGGAAAGGTCGAGTCTTTCGAGCTCGAGAAGACCTGCGAGATTGGTGAAGTGCATCGAGAGGATGCGGTTGTGGGCCAGCGAGAGGTGTTTCAGGTGTGGTGCGCCATAGAATGCAAAGTCAGGGATAAACATCATCTCGTTTCTTTCTAGGGATAACCATTCCAGACTGCGCAGACCCTAAAATTTTTAAAAGTTTTTATAATTTTTTTCTCGATTAATTATTTTTTTACCTGGAACATCTGCCACTTGATCTCCTTGATGCCGCAACTGTCCACCCTGAGCACCCTGAGTCTCTCGAGCCCATTGAAAATCGACATGTCGGCGTACTCGACGGCCGCTTTGTACACAGGGTAGGGCAAAGGATCGACCTCTGTCAGAAAGACAATCTCGTGCGGCGGCTCCGCTGGCTGCTGGTTTTTCCACTGGGTGATGTCGGCGGGCAAGTCTTGCAGCGAGTACGTCGGATGGTGTGTCGGTGCCGTCTCAGGTTGGCCCTGAAACCTGATATTTCTGAGGGAGAGGAATTGGAGGCTGCGCAGAGGACGGAGACTGTTGCTTTTGAGGACAATCTGGGTCGCGTTGACCGCGCCCTGAATGTCCAGCAAGGTCAGGAAGGCGAAGGGTTGGAAGTGTTTCTCCTCAAAAACCATTTTTTCACCTCCAGGTGCTTGCATAATAGTCAGAGCCTTTAAATCCAAATTTATTTTAGCACAATCATAAAATTATAAATGAAATTTGTACTTCAATATCGGATGGAAGTTGGTGCATCCACTCGTCAATTCCCACGTCAGATCGGTACACGCAAACAGCCGTTTTCAAGACATCATGGAAGTTAATACTCTTTTGGTCAGATAAATGGATCGCCTGTTTAAGTTTTTTTATAACGATTATTTTATATTATTTGCAATGAAATTGTACCTCATTCGGGTGCACCACCTTGGCAGTGTCTTGGTCGGGGTTCCACGAGGTGGCGAGCAGGTCGTCCCTGAGTTCGCTCATTTGGCAGTTGCAAGACGATGGGCACACGTTTTTGCCCCATCCCGCATTGGTCGCCTGCGAAAAATTTCCCAATCAAAGGAAAATTTGTAATAAAAAAAAACTCACCCTAAAAATGAGCAGGAAAATCAGCGTCCTCAACATTTCGATTGACGTCTTCAAATGATGAGGGGCAATTTGAGTGGGTGCACACAGGACAGGAAGCTAGATTGTCCTTATCACACCCCCGACGCTGCTCTCGTGTATCCGTCTTCCCATCACTGCATCACGAGACTTCCCCATCCCAGCTAATTAATAAATAAAATCCAAATTTATTTCAAAATTAATTTTATAAAGAAAAATTGTATGCACTATTAAATTAAAAATGTTTTTGTTTGATTTCAGATGTGCCAGCAAGTGGAATGTATTTCATGACCTACGAGTGGCTGCAGAGAGTTCTCACCCCTGAGGGACAGGAGCCAGGCAAAATCGGCCTGATGAGGACCATATTTGCCGGCGGCATGGCCGGAATTTTCAACTGGTTGGTTGCGATCCCAGCTGACGTGCTCAAGAGCCGCTTGCAAACGGGTAAAATCTAATTGAAATTTATAATTTTTGAAAATTTTAATTTGTTTTGCAAATAAAATTTAAGCTCCGGAAGGAACATATCCCAGGGGTGTGAGAGACGTGTTTGCCAAGCTGATGCGAGAAGAGGGTCTTTCAGCCCTTTACCGAGGCTGCACTCCCGTCATGCTCAGGGCCTTCCCTGCCAATGCTGCCTGCTTCATGGGCTTCGAAGCCTGCATGAAGTTCCTCAATTATGCGGCACCTAATTTGTGAAGAGTCACTTGCTGTATAATTATTATTTTGCCACAAATTATTTGGATTGATAAATATTATATATTTTGGTTTTGTTTATAAGCAAAGTTTTTGTAAAACATTAGGGATCGGCCTGTACTAGACGTTAAATTTTGTATAGCCTTTGCAAGACTGATCATGATCACAAAACGCCAGCGATAATGACCTTTTAGGGCCACGAAATAAATTCTTTGTTGTTTTTATGTACATTGCTGTGCTTTATTATGAAAGTCGGTTAATTCAAGATTTATTGCCATCAAAATGCACACAGTTAATAAAAAGCTCTCTTCTCTTAAAAAAACATAAGAATTTAATTTTAAAAAAGAAAGCTTTTTGTAACGATCTTTGTGGTGCTCTTTCTTGCTTATAGTTACAATAAATATAAAATTTATTTTGAATTATCTCATTTCCTTCAGTTTTATTTTGTAATCATAACTTAATGTAAATGTTTTATAAACAAAACATTCAAAAGTTTGCATGGAAAAAAAATAATAGTTGCTCGTCTTTCTTTAAAGAACTTTAAATTAAAAAAAAAGCAAAATTAACAATCAACTGCAATCAATAACATAGAATAAAATTAATACAATATTCACAATATTATTATGCAATTTAAAATTGGCCAAAATTCTCAAAATCGCGCTCTTTTCTTTCAAAACGATCTAAAACTCATTAGCGATCATGCGCACAAACTTGCAAGGTTCTCATTGGCTCATATGTTTGCGTTGCGTAATGCGTATGCGTTTGTTTACTGATCGACCGACTGATGCCATGTGGTCGTTGAATTTTCGTGCTGAAAACTAAATTTTCCACTTAAAATTGTCTTTAAACTCACCATGATGCAAAAGAAAATCGATACCATTGTAATTGACACAAGCGCATTCATCAGAAACGCTCCTCTGCAGGTAACATATAATCTTGACTTCTCTCTGCAAAACAAAAACATGACACCTTGCTCAGTCTCTGCTTGCATTTTTTTCGCACATTATTTCTTCTTTGATCATTAGAGCTTAATCAGGTCCTGAAGTCTCTTCACTTTTAGATGCTCTGAGAATGAATCTCGACGACGCCCCATCCACTCCGCGGAGGAAACCTCCGACGCAATTTAACCTTTCGAGTCTGCCTGTGACGCCCACTGTACCTGAGGTGTCGCTCCTGCTAGACCAAAACTACCGACCACTCCAACCTCGGCAGGGCGTGCAGCAAAGTCCCTCGGCCTCGAACGTCCATCAGGGTCAACCGACAACGCCTCCCGTAACTCGCATCCAAGAGCCTCAATTTCGAATTTCGTCTCCTACAGGTTTTGGGACACCGTCCGGAAGTCACCAAAGACCAGCTCTTCCCCCACGAACCAACCCTCCAGTTCTGAATGGTGTCCAAGATGCTTCTTCTAAATTACACGCCTTTGATGTCCAGGCAGTTGAGCCCTTCCCGAACTGCAGAAGCCCTCCGAGCTTTCAGCATTCGCCACTGGTGACTTCACCGGCCGTCAACGAAGATGGCCCTCGGAAGCAGGGACCGGTGCAAGTCGACTACGCCGCCAACCTGATGCTGAACGTTGAGAAAAAACTGCTGGAACAGCGGGTGAAGGAGTTGGAGGAGGAGAATCGGTGTTTGCGAGACCGAGTCGGACACCTTGAGAGTCAGCAGAACTCCCTTCAGCAGGTCAAGATGGACGCCCTGGCCGAGCAGACGGCGGCCTGTCTTCGACTCCTGGAGAACCTGAACAACAAAAAGGTCCAGTTCGAGCGGTCGACCCAGACGGACGAGTCGTCTATCGGCAAACCTTCAGAAGTTCAACAAATGCCACCCTTTTACGTCAACTCTCCTCAGCCCTTCCAACCGCAAACCGAGGAGAACTCTGAAGATTTTTACAACAACGCCCTGAAGGCCATGCAAGGGTTCTTCCCTCAGAGGGACCTGAAGGTTTCCGTTCAGGAGACAACCGTGAACCAAGCCGGAGCCACTAGAAAAAACATGGTCATGTTTGACACGTGCTACCTTCCTCGAGTGCAGCCCGTCCCTGAGCCGAGCCAACGGGTGTCCGACATCAGCGCCCACATGAACCAGCTGGCCCTAAAACACCTGAGTAGTCCTGAGATTCCACCTGAGGGGCTGTCAAAGCAGCCGTGCATGACTTATTACAACAACCTGTCCATGTCCACCAAGCAGTTTTTGGAGAAATTGAGGACTGGAGCTGTTGGACAGGAGGAAAAGATTGAGGAAGAGCACGAGGAGGTTTTCGGACAGCAGAAAAGTAGGCAGGGCTCCTCGACGGACAAGATTCTCGACATCACTGCAATTAAGCAGCAGAACAAGTTGATGTGAACGAACAATGTTGAAAACTGATATTCTTTTTGCATTTATTCCACTATTATGTAATTTAGGATCTAATTAAAAAGTAATATTCAAGTGCCTTACATTCCTATTTTGAAATAAAGTCTTTCAGTTGAATTGATAATAACGATGTATTTTTTTCTGAATTTTTCTACTTCCAAATTTGCAAACAGAGCAAGGTGTCGTTTGTATTTTTTTTTTAGCATAATTTTAAAAATTTCTAAATATTTTAGGATTTGGCGGAGAATTTTTACACAGTCCAGAATGTAGTGGATGAAGTCACACACAAGTCCCAACTGCAGGACTTGGAATTCCTCCCATACCGAGTAAAAGTGAAGGAGCCGTTCCCTGAAAGCATCGCCCATGGTAGAAAATTAAAAATAATCTTGTAGCTCAAAACGAATAATAATTATTTAAATTAGTGACCGAGTTCTCTAAGAAGACTGGAGATTATCCAAGTTTGTCGGCCACGGACATCAGAGTTCTCGCTCTAGCGTATGAGTTTGAAAAGCAACTTGTGGGAACGGATCATCTGAAGGCTGAACCCACAATTGTTAAAAAGAGCACTTGCGGCAGCCACAGAGACGAAACTCAAATAGCTGGTTTCCATATGCCAACTAAGAAGGTAAATTTAAATAATTTTAAATAAAGAATTGTATTAATATGATATAATAATTAAAGAAAAATGCTGAGGAGGAAGAAGAAGGTGAGGTGGAGGAGCATGAGGGTGATGAGGTCGATGAGGATGAATATAGTGATGTAGAAGACGACGAGGAAGAGGAAAGTGATGACGAGGACAGTTGGATCACTCCTAATAATTTGAAAGAGGCTCAGGAAAAGTTGGGCGAGGTTGAAATTAAGGATGATGTACCAACTGTTGCATGTGTCACCTCTGATTTTGCAATGCAGGTAATTAATCAAATAAGAATCTTTTTTTGTTTTTATCCATACAAATAATGTAGAACGTTCTTCGGCAAATGGGGTTGACGGTGGTTTCTGCTGACGCAAAGCTAATCAAAGATGTGAGGACGTACATCCTGAGGTGCTACGCTTGCTTCAAAACAACCACCATCATGACCAAAGTGTTCTGCCCTAAGTGCGGAAACAAAACCCTGAAGCGAGTAGCTGTGACACTAAACGAAGATGGAAGCCTCGAGATGCACTTTTCAAAAAGGCCTTTAACTGCGAGAGGCAAACAGGTTTTTATCACGACACTTTAAACCGATGAAAATTTTATGTTTTATTCACAGCAAAATTTGCCTACGCCGAAGGGAGGCAAACATGCTAAAAACCAGATCAGATGCGAGGACCAGCCTGTCCCCCAACAAAGGGCAACTCGACTAGCCCGAGCCAAAAACAATCCTATGGACCCTGATTATATTGCTGGTCAGAAGTTTTAAATTAAAATTTTAACAGTTTTAATAAAAAGGAAAACATTAGGCATGAGTCCGTTTGCTGTGAGGGATACAAGCTCGAGAGCAGCCATGCTCGGAATCAACTCAAGCTGGAGTAAAAGAGGCTTAGATAAAACTGGCATTGTGGGAAAATCTCGGAAACATAAATAATCACATTCGTTTTGTATTATACATTATACTTTATATTATAATATAAATCGACAAATTTAATTTGACTTTGTTTAGAATTTACTGTAGGCACCCAGTTTTTTCCACAACACATGTTTGTCACTTTAAATGATTTAAAATTTTAATTGCAACCAGATTGCAACTATTCATTCTTTTTAAGGTTGAGGTAATTTTCTTAGGGATGTAAAATCCAGTCCACATACATGTATAATTAATATATTGTGCAACAATTATATCTTCAAATGCGGGGGGGGGGGGGGAACTGGTACCTGACTCCTTCCCTACTTCATATCTTGTATTCTATCAAATTTAAGGCGCGTTAAGGATTGCCATCCTCCTTTCTCCTCCATGTAGTTTATATAGGTGGAAGCAGGTCAGGAGGGATGGAGAAAGAAAGACATTTCTAGACGAGAACTCGCCACCGGAGAGTAACTGTTTACGAACTTTGCTCACCGTTTTCTGTTTCTGAACCTAGAGCCTAGAGTTGCCGCCGCCTAGAGTTACTTGTATATCCAACCCAATTATAATAATATCAGCAAAACCACTACAGGTATGTTTTAAACACATATGAAAGTGCATCCTCATATTAATCCCGGAGAAAAAGAATTAATATGCCGAGGTCTAGATCTAGACGATCAACCAAAAAGCGGAAAATATAACCACCTAGACAAGGCTTAGATAAAACTGGCATTGTGGGTAAATACATGTTGGAAACAAATAAAAATAATAAATTTTATCTCTGTAATAAAATTTTTAAACAAATTTATTTAGACTTTGTTTTGAATTTTCTATTGGCACCCAGTGTTTTCCACAACACATATTTGCCATTGTGGTCCAGCAAGATGGAATAAGAATTTTCTGCTGATTGGTGAAAATAGTTCTCGTCCAGTTTCCAGTGCACAGCACTGTCCTCAAAGCCTTGGACGCTGAGTGATATCCAGGGAATGTCTTTCTGGCTTCTAAAATAAGACCTACAAATATCAAAGTTAATTAGAAAATAATCAAAATTTGAATTATAATAATGTATACATTAATTCTTCTAAGAACGAGGTAATTTGCCTGGAGGTGTAAAATCCTGTCCACTGGTGAAATTGAGCAGGCAAATTGTTGAAATCCTCTTCAGCAAAAAGTCCAGTAGATAAATCACACCACTCATTCCTTTAAAAGCAAAGAATGAAAATAAAAACCCAGAAAGATTTTAAGATAATTACGTATCGACTCCGACGGAAATTGCTCCAAGCCACTCAAGAGCCTCTTCTGTGTCAATTTCCATGATCGATTTAGGTATTTGCACCTCCATCAGTTTTTTGGTTGAAATCTCTTTCCTACCCGTCGAAACTTCATAGCCTAAGCTACTGAAGTAAGAAGCTACTGACGACGGACATACACTGGAATCTTCGGGAAAAATTAAATATTTGTAAATTATCCAAGAAAATTAACTCATACCAGGAGGGTCCCAAGATAATATCATATCAGTCCTTATCTTCAAATTGTGCATCAAGCATCGCACAACCCTTTCGTAGTTTTTCTTATTTGGTTTGAAGCAAGTCTCAGTCAAATCGATTTTGACCACTAAATTTATTACTTTTACTTTTAATTGTTGAATTTATAACAAAAAAATACCATATCTGGAAGGAGGCTTCATTCTGCAAAAGAAGGAAGGTTTTCCTTCAAGTCCGAGTCTCTCAAAGGCAACCCTTTCTAAAGACAAAACGAGCATCCCAGTCGGAGTGAGGCAAACACAAGTGTCCGAATCTATGTTTGTACCAATACTCAAGGCTGACGAATTGCCTAAAATGACCAAAATTAAAAATATCAACAAAAGAAATATCTTTCAAAACGAAAACCTTGTTTGACAAAATTTCTTATAAAATTTGGGCTGATAAGCTCTAGCACAGGCAGATCTCTAATTTTGTAGTATTCGGATTCCTTGCCTGGCCCATTTGATAAACTGATAGGAAGTTTGCAGTCAGAGGGTAAAATCAGGGACACCTGAAAAGCAGAATAATTAATATTTTTTGCAAAATTACTTATATCTCATGAAAATAAAAATAATATATTAAATTAAACAAGACAAATAATTCTTTACAGAATGGTTGAAGTAGTGGTTGGAAACGCAAAATTCGACGCACTCCCTGGCATTTTTCAGGCTGCCCTTCTCAACCTGAAGGGCAACTGAGGGTGGTTTAAAATTCCACACTTCTGGGGCGAGCATGTCTCTGGCAAATCTAAACGGGAAAATTCAGAAAATTGAGAGGAAAATATGATTTTAAACTCGACGAAACTTTTCTAAACGTACCGGAATAATTTAAGGAAAATTGCGTATGATTCCAGAGGAGGTTCTTTTACTTTTTGTTGGTAAATTTTGATTTGTTTTGAAAATGTCAGTTCTCTGCGCAGAGATTTGTTTTGATTTGCATCTCATGTAGACTCATGTGACACGGCCACGCCCCCTCAACTGACAACATTACGAATTTTGAGACTTGAACCGAAAAATTGCTGATTTTCTTTTTCCTCATTTTCTTTTTTTTTCGCCTCGTTTGAGCAATTTTGGTGAGTTGTTACTTCCCTTTTATATCTAAGAATATACTGACAGTTTGGTAAAATATCAATAAAAAATTAATGCAAAACATGAACGCAAGCAATGCGGAAGTATCCACAAAAATTTTGAAATTATATTATTTTTTATTTTTTTACACAGAGGTTCCATGGAGAAACTAAGAAAGGCCCTGAGTGGAGATGACACGTCTCCCGACGAGGAGTCAAATATTATTACACAGGTTGATTTTTTTAATTAATTAAATTTAAAATCAAATTAACTTTTTAATACGATTCAATTATTTTCAGGTAATAGACTCCTCCACTCTAAGCTGGTCGACTAGAATCAAGGGATTTGTAATTTGCTTTGCGCTTGGAATTATCCTTTCCATCTTTGGCACCATAACTCTGTTCTTTCATAAAGGATTCGCCCTTTTCGCCGTCTTCTACTCGCTAGGAAACATCATTTCCTTGGCCAGGTTTGTTGAAATTTTTTCAAACCAGAAAAATAATTAATTGGAAAATTTGTGATTCATCAGTACATGCTTCCTGATGGGTCCATTTAACCAAATTAAAAAGATGTTTGCGCCGACAAGGGCAATTGCAACAATTCTGATGATCACCTGCCTCATTCTCACCCTTGTGGCTGCTCTTGTGGTAAGAATTTCTAAAGAAATAATAGGAATCAGTTATTTAAAAACGTTAATTAATTTTTCAGCTTAAAAAGGCAGGTCTGTCTCTGCTTTTTGTCATTCTGCAGTTCTTGGCCATGACTTGGTACTCGCTTTCGTACATTCCGTACGCAAGAGATGCTGTCAAGAAGACAATTAACGCCTGCCTTGCGTAAAATCCTTCCACTTATAAAATTCTGATTTTCTTCAGGTGTTCAATTTGCGTCAATTATACAATAATTTGTAAGAGCAATATTTTTCTACTGCAATTTTTACAAAGCATCGAAATGAAACAAAAGTGGCCTCTATAATATTTTAAGACTTAAAATTTAAAAATTCCATTATTTTTCTTCCTATCGCGAATAATTATGAAATATCTTGTAACGTTTACAACGTTTAAACATAAATTAAAATGTGCAAACCTCATTCAATAAACTGCACAGTAATTTATTCAATATAAATTAAGCATTTAATTGTTGGGACTTTAGAATTAAGTTTTTCACAAAGATGTGATTCTAAATAAAAGTAGGTGAAAATAAATTAATGTGATGACATTTCCTTCCTTTGCTGCACCATTTCTCGCAAGTTATTTTCTCCGTCCTTCAAAGTGCGCTCCAAATAATTTTTGTTTGCCTGCAGAAAAATTGAAAGGTGTTATTTTGATAAAAAAAAATTATTTATGTTATTTTACTTCCAGCTTCTTGATTTTTTCCTGGCTGGCTTTTACTTTTCCGTCAATGTTCTGTCTGACTTTGGCCACAGATTCTAAGAAGAAAGCGTGACCCACACTTTCGTAGACGACAGTATCGTCAGGCAAGGCCTACAAAAAAAAATCCATTAAAACACTGAAAATAATAGAAATTTAAATCATATAATTACGGCCATCTCTCTGTCTGTCAGTTCGCTGCGACGAATATCCATTTTCATTCCATCGATTTGCATATCAGATAGGCGCAGTTTTTGCCGAGTTTCGATAACCCTCTGCTGCTGGGCAATAAATGCCTGCAAGAATTTCAGTACAATTATGAGAAATTATTGAATTAAAAAGCACGTGCGGAAAATTTCAGAAATCACAATACGCCTAATTTGTTCTCGAAAGGAAGAAAAATGTACCTTTTTCAGCTCGACATCAATTTCAGCTTTTCCAGCCATGATTGCAGCAACTAAGAGATTCCAAGGAATTGAAATTCGGGCTCAATTTGCTATCAAAATTGGTAATTATTTAAGGAAAAGTATTTGACAAGCGGCGATTTGGGCGAGTGATACAAAATAAGTGGGCGTAGTTGAAAAAGGAGAAAGAAAGGGGCGTGGTCGTGATCTAATTTTAAATCCATTTGGCGGGATGTACTTTTCTGACATAAGGTTTTGAACCGCAATTAGTGTGATAATTTTATATTTCTATGTAACAAAAATTAAAATACATTTTTTTTATTTGAACTGTATTTTATTAACTTCATCAGATTACTAAAGACAAGAAATGAAATAAAAATGCTTCTCAACATTACAAAAACTTTTAAAAATTGAGGTGTGAGCAATAAATCTTTTAAAAATACACTAAACTTTTTTTTACATATAAAATACCTTAAAAATATATGCATGGTCCTTTTAATGCGATACAGTGCTTGATTGTGCTTGATGAAATTAAACCAAACAAAATGAATGTAAAGGTTCTTATTTGATGCGTGTTATCTTATCAACGTGTATGGCTTGCGTATAGGCTAGTGATGAAAAAAAAGCAAGAAATATATACCGAGCAGGTCTATTTTTTATAGAATGCGATAACGATGATCATTAAGGCGTGAGCTCTAGTCACTGAAACACACTCATCGGGAAAATGGCACTTCCGGGCTAAAACTCAACATATTGGCCAATTTTACCAAGAACGGAATAGAGACATGGCTGGGGCAACTTGCGTGCGGTGGAGCTTTGTCATTTATGACCTATTTCTCGGGGTATAATTAAAAATTTACATCACCTTAAATATAATTCTTTTTTTTTTAATTAGCTCGTCAGTGCGGGAGCGACGGTTTTTGCCGCGTGGGTGCTGATCGAAGTTTTAACTTTTGGCTATTTTTTGGACGTCGGCGTTGTGGCCGCGCCGTCGATTGCGCTGCTCTTGGGCGCCCTTCTGCTGCTGCCATGCATCGTCCTCCTAGGCTTCAGGGCGTTCACCACCAAGAGGTCCACGCTGGCCATCATAGTAAAATATAAAAATAATTTTTAAGATACAAAAATAATATTTTTTTTTTTAATTTAGTACTGGTTCATGGTGGCCGTCAGTGCTCTTTTGGCCCTGGGCTTGGCGTGCTGGACTTTGATTTTGCGCCATCAAGTCATGGCTGGCTACCTGTCTAGTAAAATCGCCAACTTTGTTCTCATTGAAAATCCTAAAAGCTTGACTGATCCTGAAACTAAACATTACTGGGATGCTTTACAAACTTCTGTAAGTATTTATTTTTTAATTAATAACGACAAATTTTGGGGCAACTTTTTAGTTAAATTGTGGAAGTTTATATATAATTTTTCTTAGGCTGAATGCAATTTTTGACATCCTTCAATTTTAATTCTATTAAAAAAATTAATTTATTTTATTGATAATTACAAAATTATCCTGAACTGGCTGAACTTAATTTTTTCTGCTTAAATTTTTTTACTTTTTATTGAAATCATTGCACCTTTTACTACTATTTTAAGATTTTTCAATATTTATTTTCAATAAAACTAATCACGGAAGTAATATTGTATTAATTAGATGAAGTGCTGCGGTCTGAACGGCGCTGCAGACTACAAGTCATCAGGATCATTACCAATGAGCTGTTGTGACGTTGTGGAACACATTTGTTCCAAAACCTACTCTCAGGGATGCGCATCGGCCCTCACAGAATTTTCTGCAGTCAAACTTGCACAAATTGCAATCGTTGCTTCTGTGGCTGCGCTTTGTCTGGTAAATTAAAAAAATTTGCAAATTAAATAAGTCCTAAAATATTAATTTTCTTCAGTTCATTGGAGTTTACGCTGGCTGCAGTTTCAGCAGTTCCTTGAGAAACGAAAAGAAGAAAAACAGGGAAAAGTAAATTTTATTACATTAGAAGTTTTACGTAATTTTAAAAATTATGAATATTTCAGCAACACGGACGTTGAACTTGAGGTTGTACCTTTGAAGCCTTCAACGCTAATTAAATCTCGCGTATAAATTAAGATTAACTAGATAAATTATGAGTTAATTTTGGTAATAGCCAAACTCGACGATTTCATCCCTTCCGAGAAAAAAAGCTCCACCGCCGGTGCCACCAAAACCATCGCCTCGATATTTGCGCTCCTTCAGCCGGAACAGTGAAGAGACAGAGGTGATGAAGGTCGACCCAGCAAGAAACAATTCAAAATAATATTTCGGAAAAAAATCAACCATGGCTCTCTCCTCGCAAATGAAAAGCATTTTGTTTATACATTTCCATCCTTTTATTTCTCATAGACTATCATTTTTCATTTTATAATGTTAATCACCTGCATCATCATTCTTCCATTTTTGTAGTTATTTTTTACATTCAAGGTTTTGTCTACATCAAATCTGCTTTACATTGAACAATAAATAATAACTTGGATCTGCGGTTTTTTTTTAAATACGCTACACCATATAGCTGCTTAGATTTTCCCAACTGTACAAATATAATAATGGAAATCATTCAAAATAACAAAACGCACTTGTCTTTTTTCGATGAAAAAAAAATTAAATTAATATATATCATAATCATTCTTTAATCAATCAATCTCCCTAGATAATTACAATACATAGCAACAGATTTCCTTTCTTTTAAACACTTTCCTTTGTAGCGTCAATCAGAATCAGAACCACAGAAAATACCTCTTTTCAATTCATGAATCTGCGTATTTACTTTTTTCTTCTGAAATGGACCCGGCGGTGCTTCTTTGTTTTTATATTGATTTTTTTTATCAAAAAAGTGTGACACAATACCTCTAAAAGGGAGATACAAAAACGACCATAAAAAGACGTCGATTTCCACGCCAAGTTTTTCAAGTTTTCCGTCCTACGTGCTTTTTTAAATTTTCTCTCAAACTTTAGATCAGTGCGTGGAGATTCGACGCAGGAGCAATCATCTAGGTGTTGGGTTCATTTTTTTTTTATCCTTTTATCATTTATATTATTTCAACGTTTTGCATGGTACCAAAATTCTTGGTTTATGAGTTTTCAGATCCATTGCCGAGATGAACGTTGAATAATTTGTCAGATTTTGCTATTAAAAAGCCTCAAAGCAAAGCAAAAATTTCCATTTATTAAAAAGGAAATGAAAACCGTCCATCGATCAAACAAAAATAAAAAAAACTACTGCGAAAACAGCTAGTTTTTTTTTCTCGTATGCTCAACACTGAATGATTTTCAATATGAATACACGCAGAAAATATTTTGTTGGACATCCATTTTGACTGCTGCTAGCAGAAGACAGAATTGAAATTGGGAACAATTTCTGTCTGTGAAAATCAGACCAAGTATAATCTTTTTCCACGTATCTTTTTTAGCCGCTACAGTTTAACATTATTTGCCACAATTCTAAGCCGTTTGACTTTGCGTGTGAGAGAGAAAGAGAAAGAGGGAGTTGTTGTGACAAATGAATATTTCAATTCTCCCTCACCAATGAACACCGACACTAATTTGATATAAGAATGTGCGATATCGAATTGGGGGATTCTCCTGGACTTGACCGAACATCGCTACAACTTATCGTAATAATTATTGCAAAAAAGTGACCAAACACAGCGGCGCTGAGAATCCCTTGAAATAGTCAGTTTATTAAAGACTAAACGCGGTTAAAAACTAATTTTTATATATCGTTATTATTATTATAGTTAACAATAAAAAGTTAAGGTCATAAGTTAAAACTCAAATACTAAAACGAGTTTGTGCTGCACACATTGAATGGAAGATTTAAAATTTCTTTAAAAAAAAAAAAAAAAAAAAATGCAAGACTTCTTTTAGAAAAAAAATGCTTGTGTGACAAACCAAATTTTGATTTTCAGGCAGCTTCTTACAAACAAGAAATCACAAAAATTAATAATTAGTTAGTTATGCTTTTAAAAATAATCTTTGGCAATTTCGGGGCAGATTGGGCATGATTTTTAGTAGTTGTACTTGTCCGTCGAGGAGGCCGCTTCGAAGGCCTCGGAATGCATTCAAATGCCCTCAAAAGCGCGCCCGGGAGCCACGCCTGTGCCTTTCGAATGAAAAGTAGAATCAACTTGGTGCATTTCACCGAGAAAAATAACCGGATCGGGAAAATATCACATAAAATATATATATAATATACTGTGTAGTGTGGCAGAGGTAATGAGAAAGTGGGATAGTAAAAAGTTAATAGGCAGGCCCCACCGGCGCGAATTAATCTAGCAAATGCGTGGCGCAGTCTTTTTTCGAGTTAGGCAGTCGTTTCGGCTGCCAACTGGACGCCCTCCATACCTTCGGGGACGCCTCGGCCGTCGGCCAAAACGCCCTCCTCGTCTTCGTCCTCCTCCTCGACGGCCACCAGACTGGCTGCTGGCGAGGCGGCCATCACGTGGCTGTTGCCGTTGGCAATGTAGCCATTGGCGCGGCCGTTCACTGACAAGTAGATGCCCGTTCGGGGCAGTGTGCGGAGTCCTTCGCGCGACTTCAAGAGGCTCTCAATGCACTGGTACAAATAAAGATAGTCCTCCTAAAAATTTGAATTATATTTTACTGTTATTTATCAAATAAATTGATTTCATTTTGAAAATATACATTGATTGAATTGCAAGGAAAAATGAAACTTTTAACTCATAAAAGGAAATTTAGATAGGTTTTCATTACAATTTAAAATTATTGCTTTTAGAGTTTATTAAATTAAATCTCTATCTGAAACTACCTGAAACGTTTTTAAATACCTGAGATTTCCAAATTCCTGGACGTTTGTTGTGATACAGTTTTGCATACATGTAGACGTCGACATTGCTCTCATACTCCAGCTGCTTCGTCAAAGAAGTCAGACAACAAAAAGTGGCTGCCTCTGTTCCGCCAAATCTAAAATGATTAAATTTCATTTTTAAGTAAATGTATTTATTTAATTTTGGATAAACTTTACCTATCAATGACGACAACAGGCCCGTTTTGGCAGTCTATGTGCCACTCTTGGACAAGGTTGAGCAAGTCAAAGACGGTGGTCATGCTGCTGCAGCTGTGTGGCCAGTTTGCAAATCGGATCATCTTGATGCGCAACTCGTAGTCATCATGCAGCGACTGAACAGTCAACTCGTTGCAGGTGCCGACGGCGTGCTCGATCTCGTCCACAAACTTGACCTTGAAGTTTTCGTTCTCCAATTCATCCTGTGCCGTCGGCCAGAATTGCACAAATGGCTAAAAATGATTTTCTCGATAATTAAAATGACTGGAAATGGTTAGTTTAATAATCCACCTGGTCTATTGTGTTGTCAATGTCGGAAAGCATGACGATAGTTTGGGCGTTGTGGTCCCAGACCATCTGCCAGAAGTCCATCACAGTTGCCTCCAAGGGGTGTTGCGTAATGATAAATTCTTTCAGTTTGTGGAATCCTGTTTTCAAAATCAAATGAGGTACTGAAATTGGAAATAGTAGGCACAAATATACTGACCGTGAATCCAACAAGCATTGATGTAGTCACTTCCGTCGACGGCAGGTTTCGGGGTTAGATGCACCCTCGAGTTTTCAAGAGGCAGGAGTTCAGTGCTACGATTTTTGTATTCATTGCACTGCTTGGTGGCTGAGGTAAGATGGAAATCTTGAGGAGAAAAGCCCGTCAAGAGCTGTAAATTTGTTAATCAATAAAATTTCCAATTTTAAAAAAAAGTTTAAGTTATTACCGAAAATTGGCTATCAAGCAGTTTCCTGTGGGTGTTGTCAGGATGCATGACGTCTGAAGTGAGCAGGTTGATGATGTAGTTGGGCACGTTGGTGTGCCCAATGCAGGTGTTTCCAAACTCAATGGCCTCCAGCAGGGCGTCGTGAATGAAAATGTACTGCTCCTCAGTCTGAACTAGGAAGTTGCGCTGGGTGCGGATGTACCGCAGGAATCCGTAGATGTTGACCTCTGACTTGGCTGCAATTTGCTTCAGCATGGCGTCCAGAACAATGTACGTTCCTGTCCGACCAACTCCGGCACTGCAGTGGACAACAATGGGGCCAGCGTCCAGCGGGTTGGCGGCCGAGCTCTTCTTGACAAAGCTCAGCACTGGCAGTGGGTGGTCTGGAGTGCCGTGGTCTGGCCAATTCGTGTAGTGGTACTGCTTGACAGTCCGTTCCGTTTCAACGCCCTTCTTTTTCTTCAGCTAAAATAAAAATTGTAAATAATCTTACATGGATAAAGATTAATTTTAAGCCAGATTACCTTTGTGTGCTTGACTTGCAGCGTTCTGACAGTGTAGGTGGCCATGATGTCCTCCTTGATCAGTTTGACTTGGATGACTCCGTAGGTTTCAATTCCTTCCTTGGGCCAGTACATGTCACATTTTCTCTGGAAAAACATAGAATGAAATTATTAAAGATTTATATATTTTAAAATAATGAATATGTCATTAATTTGATTAAATTATAGTAAAAAATTAAATAATTACCCGTCCCCTTTCGACCAGATTGGTAATCATGACTATGATGGCAACTCGCTGCTCCCAAATCATCTTCCAGAAGCAATCAAAAGTGGTTGGTAGAGGGCCCTGAGTGCCAATGTAAGCCCTACTCTTCTGGAAACCATCGATGTAGTTGGCATTGATGTAGTCCATGGGCTTCTTCTGGCCCACTCCAGGCATCAAACGAACCCGACTGTGGTCGTCTGATGAATCAAAATTATTAACAATTCACTTCAAACAGATTTTTTTTTTTTTATCTTACAAGCAATGATGTTGAGGTATCGATTCTTCTGCTTGTTTTCAGGGTGCTGAGAAAATTCCGAGGGGAATTCCTCTTTTGTCGCCAAGGCCTGGATGGCCTCGTACTCTTTGCTGAAGCCGATGTCTCCATCTGCATGTAGCTCCATGACGTGTTTTGTAAACTGGTGAATGGGGATGGTGGTTTTGATGCCATCCTCATTCGTGATGTCCCAGTCCACCTTCTCTGTCTGCACAATTGGAGGCAAGTCGTCCAAATAGTTGTACGAGTCCCGGAAGCATTTTCTAGAAAGATCAAACCTTTGTTATTTAATAAAAGTGAACAGAAAGACTAGTGATAAATCTATTAGAGAATCTTAATATTACTGAAATGGGTGAAGGAATTGAAAAAATTTGCTCATGATATGTGTCCATAGCAAAAATTTAGCAGAACTGATTAACGGGTAGGAGTTGTTTTGTAGCGGGACGGCTGCTGTTACAGCAAATAGAGAGAGATAAAGGGCTTATATGGCGCTATTGTTTGTTTAGTGATGCGGCTGTTTGGCCTAAAAACCCATAAATGTTTAATCTACGCTGAGAAAATAAACAATCAGCATGGCATTTAAAGATGCATTTGCTTCCTTTCAATCTATTTTTACAATCGTAAAAAGAAAAACACACCTCCAAAGGACAAAGGCGACTATGGCCAGGATCATGGAAAAAGCAGCGCAGGCAAAACCGGCGATGACCCCAGCACTGAGGTCGTTCTGCTTTTGCTTCTGGAAGAGATGCAGTTTGTCGCAGTTGGGCTTCAGAAGGATTTTCCTCGACTGAGACTCTTCGCCCTGGAGAATCTCGGAGCGGTTCAGCTCGCTGTGCACGGCGCCACGAACTTTCACTTCGTACATTTTGTCGGTTGTCAGATTCGTCAGATATGCCTAGAATGATAATATCAATTAGTATTTATTCCATAAAAAGGATATTTTATCTCGAAAACTTATTACTATATACTTTTTCATGAATGTAAAAAAATTAAATAAAACGAATTTATTCTGATAATATCAATCAAAAAGCATACCGAGGGCTTCAGCAAGTCGGCTGATGCATTAAAGACATTTTCGCTGAACTCGAAAGAGTCCTCGCTGCGGAACATCAGGTAATAGTAATCGATGTTTTTGTAAAACTTGACGGGGCGCATCCACTGGATGAACAGCGACTCCTCACTCAAGCAGGTCAAATTCACAATTTTCGGAGGACCAGGACCGGCGATGTCCGTCTTGCATTCTACAGCAATCGACGGCTCCCCTTCGTTCTTGTACGTAAAAGCCTTCACCCAAATCTTGTACTCGCCGTTCGGAGCTGAAAAGTTAATTACAAAAAATGTTAAAAATATATTTCTAAGAGTTTAGATTTGTTCGTACTCAGTCCTGTGAGGTTGTAGGTGGTGAGAGGGGTGGTGATAGCAATAAAAGTGATGCTGTCGGTGAAGTTGTTGTGCAAAAAGTAGAGTCTGAAGCCAAGCAAGAGACCATTTTTCATCTCAGGGGCGCCCCAAGAAAGTCCCACTGACCGAGACGAGACATAGTTTATCGTCAGGTTGAGTGGTCTTGAGGGAACTGAAACAAAAATTGAATTCATGAAAAGTTTGTTGAAAAACTGGAATGAGTGATTTTTTAACAATAAAATGTAATGAGGTTTTAATTATCATTTAAGTTTGCAACGAATCCTATAAAAAAGCAGAAAGTAAAAGGAATTTAAACATTTCCTCCGAATTTTGTTCTTTTTCAATTTGGATCTAAAAATGTTAAATTTTTATCCCGAGTCGTCTTTTAATAGTTCGACAAAAATTTCACGCAACTTCCAATACATGTCAAGGTCAGTTTTTCACACACACGTGTTTGTTTGCAGGAAAATTATCTTCCAAAATTATTCAAAAATTCCCCGAAAAGAGTTGAACGCCCTGCAAAAGGCGCGTGCAAAATTCGCCTCGGAAAATCAATATCCACGAATTTCGCAGGCGCGACCTGCGTGCAGGGCGCCGACCTTGCGTGACCCCCCCGAGGTCACCAGTTTGACCTCTTCGAACGCACCTTCCTCCGACTCGTCACCGGGCTGCATTTGGTCGCGGCCCTCCGACGTCCCCAAGACCACCAAAAGGGCCGCAAGAACCACGACCGACGACCTCATCCGGTTCCCACGGCCTCGCATCGCTCTCGGTTTTGGCCGCTCACAGCGTCCGATTCTCTGTGCAAACGGCCTCGGTGGCCGCCCTGGCCGCTCAGCGGCCGTTTACCCGCAGCATCCGTGACCGCCGAAAGCTCGGCCACCGCACAAATCGCCGAAATAACAATAAAAACAATGGCGCAGTGGCCCTGGCGCCTCCAATTGACTCGGTTAACCGGTTTTCCGCAAAATTGGTCTCAACCGGACGATTAGAATTTAAAAGCGTGTATTTCCTTAAAAGTCGGTTGTTCGGTTTTAAAATTTTGGAATACCGGTTTGCGAAATTTCCAGTTGTACCGGCTAAAACCGGGTTAAACGAGTCGGTTTTTGCGAATTTGGTGCTTCTTCCGGCCGGTGCACCGACACGCACGCCTGGCTGCTGCAGCTCTTTCCAGGCCGTGCATTGCACCTGCTTCTCTACAGTCACGCTACAGAGACGCCTGCCGGTTGTAACCGGAACTACTTGGAATCTGTTGCTCGCCCTCGGCTCACCAGGGCGCATTCTGTCCACAATTTGGAAGCAAAATTAACAAAATTAAAAAAAAAAAAAAAAATTAAATTCTGAAATGCCTAAAAAAAATGCTGCAATTTAGGTCTCTTTGATCTTCAAAGATTCGGCAAAATTCTTGCTTGTCGTTTTTTTTTTAACAATTCAATGTGTCTCTCTCATAAAACCCAAAAATGGTTTTGATTCAATGTAAATATTTTGCGATAATTTGAAAAACTTAAAAAATAATAAAAAAAAATAATACAGAAATTAGGGTTGAATTAATTATTTTACTACAATTAAGCACATTAAATAAAAGTCTCAAAATATTTCATACTAAAATTAATTAATCCAATTGTGGTGAATTGAAAATTTCCGAGAACAAAATTTTTGCTCGTGATTTTCATTCGTACGGTAAAAAGTTTAATTTTAGAAGACTTCATTTCTCATTATAAAAAGCAATTTTTTCACAAGACAATTTGCATTTTTCAAATTGGAACAATATTTAAATGACGTCGCTGGAATTATTTTATGCCCTCTCTACATCCAATTTGATTCCGCGCCGCTGCCGGCAAAAGCTATATCGTAATATGTTCCCTTTTTTGTCTAAGTAAAACCAACGTGATGTATAAGAGAGAGACAGGAAAGGGTCGTTTTTCGCATATAAACGTGCCGCGCGGCAGCGATTCCTTTGAAGCACATTTTTCATTAAGCCGTAGAGCGTCTCTGTTTTTGCGCACCTTTTTCATGTGCGAGAGCGAATATTTAATTTAGACCCAGCCAGCGAACCCTCGAACAATTTCAAAGCACCTCTCTCTATAGTTTGTTGTCAAATTTTCGCGTTTTATTAAAAAAAAGGGGGGGGGGGATGACTGGCATCCTTGACTTCTTTTTCCACCATCCTCCTTCAAAATTGTCATGATAAATTCGTTTTTCGTTTTAAAAGTAAATATTTAACATCAAATATTGAGATAAATTTTAATTTTAATTAAGCCTTTCACTGATTGGGAAAGAAAATTTCATTATTTATTTTGAAGGGTGTCAAACGCCTCTGATCAATCAAGCAGTCAATCAATTAGATAAATTAGTAGTGCTTCAATTTGAAGCGGCAAACTCCAGAAGTGGGACACACTGACAGAGTAGGAATTAATTGAATCTCTTCGCCGTCTCGATACTACCTACAGAGTCAATTAGTAAAGCATGTTTGAGTAAGTTGATATGAGGTGCTCTCTCAAGAGCAAATTGCAATATGATGGAAAAAATTACTCCTCGCCTTATTGCAAGTGACACAATTTCCTCCTTTCATCGCGACTGCCAGAGAGGATTTCGACAAACTCTGCCGGCAGAAACACGCGCCGCAATCGAATTTTCTGTCGATACTCGGAATTTGTAATGGACTTCTCAGGGTCGGCGGTAGGCAATTTGTCGGACGCGCGAAACGAGCAGGTTGCATACGATCGCCTGCCGCAGTCAATTTTCCGGCAGAAAAACGCTCAAAGCGCTCAAAATTTCTGCTCTGTCTCTTCCTTATAAGACACTTTTGAAGATTTCAGCGAATTTGTAATGTGATTTTTTTATATCAACGGCAGATAAAAATTAAAAAGTTAATATCTGTCATTGAAGACATTTTTTTCCAGAATATTTATTAATTTGGAAATATTCACAAATAAAATGTAATGTGTCGATTTATAGTTAAAATCGGTTAAAATTTTAAAATTACCTGGCATTAAATTCCAATCATTTTTTTACACAGTGAAAAAAGTTGAAGGAAAAATCAAACATTGACTGACCCAAGACGTATTTGTTAAATCAATCAAGATTAAAGATAACAACGTTCAAGGAAACTTTATTGTTTTCTACTTGAATAAAATTGATGAAATTTCTTCGATAAAACATGAAATCATTAAGTGGCAATTTGCAGCGTTTTCTACTTGTTTTCCAGAATTTTAACATTATATTATGTCAATAAAAATTTTCACCTCAATAAACAGTGACTCAAAAAGTCATATTTTATAATTTTAAATTATTCTTAGAATTTTATTTCATTTCAAAGTATTAAAAAATATCAAAAAACATTTTTATTTATTTAAATTTTATCAGAATTCATTCCATCAAGGCCTGAATAAATCCATGTCTATGTGATGTATAAATATTTTATTTTTAACGAGAAAGAAATGGCAGTGGCGGTCCAGCTCTTCAAAAAAGCGGATTTTGCCAATTAAAACGAGGCGGGCGATCCACGTTTGCTGCGCGTTGAAGGTTTTTGCTCACCAAAACGAACGCAAACAGAACGCCGAACAGAATTAATGAGCTCACCCCTCAAGTTTGCACATCCCTTCTACATTTACATTAAAATAACAACTCGTCCACGTTTCTATCGCCACGAGTCTCACGCCAAGTTTCGAGTGGCGCAAGAAGTGAGAAGAGATGGATGCACACTCTTGGAGGAGAAGAAACAATCCGCGACAGCTTCTTCTCCTTTCAAGCACCATCTGTCTTATAGTTGGTTCGAGTTGCATCATTTGTAACTGAATAATATTCTCTATTGTGCTGTTTATTCACATAAAGCTAAGTTTCACTTAAATATATTAATGCAAAAAAGGGTAATTTTTAAAATTATTAATCTTAAAAAATTGTTTAAAAAAAAGATCTATAAATTTTTGCATTTAATCTTACATTATTCAATAGTCCACATACTTTTTTTTTCAAATTGCAATGAAATTAAAAAAAAAAAAACATTTATTATTCATCAGAAAAATGCTTCAACCTCTCTAGTTGTTGAAAATTGAGCGCTTATGCATAATTCGATGCTATCAATTAATTAGATCGATTCTAAATAGCTTCAACAAATTGTTTTTTATGTGTTCAAAATTAATTTTGTAATTTATTGGAAATCTAATTAGTTTGTTACAAATTGTTGTAACTGTGCAAATTGGAATAAACTAAAGCTGCGAAGAAAAAAATTGAGCAATGAACTTGATTTAAAAATTCACACTTTTATATATGATTTTAAATTTTAATTGATACCTTTTTTTGAGACAAACCAAAATTTTATATTTTTTTATGTTAAGAAAAGTTCTAATTAATTAACTTTATTACGTTTGTTTAAAAATAACTTCTGAACGATGTAAAAATAAAACATGCTGCAAAGCTTGCACTGGAGAAGTTTAAAAGTATTTTACGTTCCGTTTTTGTAAAAGGCTTCAAATCAATACTTCCAAAAGTCTGATTCAGACTGTTTGCATAGCGTAGGTGGCAGATGTGAACGCGGTCCGGAGCCAATTCTAATCAACGGTTCTGCCCACCCGAAATCAACATTGGAAGCTCTCTTTTGGCCTCAACCCCAAAAGTAAATTAAATGTTCGGTTTCGACTCAGGGACCGCACCGGAACGAAGCGATCGCCGCAGATTCGCACGCGCCCATCCGGCTACATTTCATGCATGCATAATTTAAAACCGTGTATGTGCAAACGTGGTGGATTTACGTAGGTAGGAACAATGGTCACGTGTGCCGGCTGGGGAAATTCATACACGAGCCGGTCTCGACGGAAAAGATGCGAGAGAGATCTAATTTTGTAATGAGGAGAGTTGCCGCCGGGGATCGCAGCAGGGTGGGTTTATTTGAATTAATCACGTTAATGATATAAGATAAGAGTGAGCTATGGAGGGGGATGAGTTTCGCAAAGGGATGCAAAGCCTTTGTCCAAAAGTCGATTTTATAACGAGACTAACTAGGATTGTTAGTAAAAAGATGGATTATGCTCATATCTCATTATTTCATACAATTTTTTGCAACATTTTAATTACATAAGAAAAGTGAAATGGTGACAATATTTGAAAAAATTATTGTAATTTAAAATTTTATGCTTTTAAGAAATTAAATGAAATATTTTTTTCAAAAAGATGTCTTTAAAAAGGGATCATCAGTTTAATTTATGAAATGATAAAAAAAAAACAGGCTCTGTCTATGTTGAAAAATGATTTTTTTTTACAAATAACAATAATATGGCTGCAATTTTGGTCAATTTCATAAATAAATTTTTCAGATTTTTATTTACAATTTTTCTTGATCATGAAATAGGGTCGCAAACCGTGCCAAATGTGGTGGTATTTATTCAGGTAAATTTTGATTGAATTAAAGTATTTATTGCAAATTTTGAATGGAATACAAATTTTCAACACTGAAAATTCTTTTCTTCACTTACAATTAAACGTATCCTCAAGTACCAACTTCTGCACTCTAAAAACTATGCCTGAAGATACATTAATAAACACGATTTGAAACTAAAGAGCTAATTTTTTTTAATTACAATTAATTATTTTCAATGAAATTTAGTAAAAATCCACTTTAATTATTTAAATATTTCCATTCGTATAATAGTTTTCTTCTTTTAAATACTTTTGAAAGTTGAGTACAATTAGATTAAAAAAAAAAAACTTGTTCAAAAATCTTTGAAATAGTTTAGTGGGCGACAGGGATGCATTCATAAAACAATTTTAAATCTTCACTCTAAGCAAAAATGAATGAAATTCTAATGGACCGAATAAATAGCTTGATTCCACCTCCAGCCTCAGACAATTTCAAGCTTCCGTGGAGCGGTGCACGTGTGCGAGCGAGGATTTTAATGCACCGCCATCGAATTTGCGAACGTGATTCAATTTCGCGGCAGACAGACGGAAGGCTCGCCGGAGTGGTTGAGGACAGGCCCATGATGGCGGTGCGAAAGCGAGTTAACTTCCGTGAAATAATTCAAAGAGACACAGACAGAGGAGGCCCCGTTTTAGTGTAATAAGTTGCGCGCTCACTACAAAACTAACAGGGTGGTTGCGGTGGTCAACCCACCCCGTGTGCGTGCAGCCGACAAAGGGAGGTCGTAATTAAAGGAGACTGAATTTCGTCCGTCAAAAGAGGAAAGGCTCGCAGTCAAAATAAGGAATGGGCTCTTCTCACCTGGCGTCAACGCACCCGGGGGACTTTTCCACTGAAATTGGAGGAGAGTTTCGCGATGGAAAATATTTGGGGAGGAAAGAGAAAGGGGATGGTGCTTTGATATGTGCGAAAGAGAGAGAAGACGCCGAAATTGATTGGTCTCTCTCTTGCTCGCTCCTGCTTTTTGGTTTTCGGTGGGTGGGTGGCTTGATAAAATCGATCGTCCCTCGCCAAACTCTCCTGCTCACATGTATATGTCTTTCTCTCTCTCGCGCGCGCAGTTCTCGCACCTGCTGCAGCTCCATCTCCGACATGCACGAATTATTTACGGCGTCGGATCCGCTTCTCGCGCTTGTAGCGTGTTTTACATCGGCGTACGCCATTCCTTATTCAAACGTACGTTTTTCACGGCAGGAGAAAGTCGAGTGTAGTCGCTTAAAGTAATACCATTTCCGACGAAAGGCTTTAAATAATCAAGAATGGCGCTTCCCACCTATCACTTTGTATGGTATCAGTTTCCTCTTGCTTTTATTTGTCAGTTTTGATTTATCACTTGGATATGCTATCGGTAATCGGCTGTGTAGAACACAATTTAAAACATGTTTTAGCACAATTCCTCAGATAATTCGCTTCTTAAACTTTGTATTTTTTTGAAATGAATTTTTGGAATATTGAAGATATTCTTTTTTAAGATTGTTTAAGTTTTTTAATTTTTGTCTTTTTAAAATAAAATTATGAACACTATCAAAACGTGGGTTTACTAAAAGAAATCAAAATAATCAATAGAAATTCATTTGAAAATTCCAAAAAGTAACTTTTCAAATATTATCGCAGATTTCTAGAATTCACTTGCAATTTGATCAAATTTCAAGAGAATTTTTGTTTATTCAGAAAATTGGTTTGCACAATCTTCTAACATACAAAATCTCATGTATGATTTATTGAGTTATTATCAATTATTTTAATTGGAAAGTACTGAAAAAAAAATTGATTTTTGTAGCTTATTTTGAAGTAAATTTTTTGTTTGTATAAATAATATTTTAATAATTGAAGGAAAAGAGAAACAAGCTACATATTTTCCAAATAACGAGACACTCAATTAGTCAGTGATTTTATCAGATATGTTCAGCTTATGTATGAAAAAAGTTGAAAAATATTTCAAATGGTTCAAGCCGCGTCTCTACAAGTACCCAATTATTCAGTCAATAGCAGTATTTATTGCATTTTATCTTCAAAATATTACCTTCATTCCAGCATTTTTATAAAATATTTGTTCATTTTATCTCTTTCTTTTGTAGTTGAATTTAATTTAACTGCTGTTCATTGTTTTTGAATGAATAAAATATATGGGCAGCAAATGGCCGGTGATGAATCAATATCACTTGAAGTTAATCACGATCATTGAACGTCTGCACTTAATTAATTCCAAACTGATGCCTTGCTAATTGCACTTGAGGGTGATTCCAGTTATTCCCGGCGTGAAACCGTTCGCAATCCATATTCAACTGGCGAGGAGTGGAGCGCAAACCACGGAGGTTTCGCCTTATAACTGCTTTTGCCGCGCCACCATTGTTGCCTGCCAGATCATTATCAAATGTACACAATTTCGCCCCTCCATTATTCACCGAACCGCGCCAAAATAACGTTCGCTCTCGGCTCGAAATAAATCAACGTAGCCTGTGAAATTTCACACACGTCTAACTTGAGCTCTCCATTGTTTGCCGCGCGCGCACGCTCGCTATTTGTGTTTATTGGCTAAACATTTGCTCAAGACAATGTTTGCGAAAATCTTGGAAATCTTTTTGGAAATCTTGAGAAAACGGAAACAGCAGACTGTTGGGCGCTCCTCTTTCTTCTTCTTGTTCGAGAGTTTCAAGTTGTCTGTTGTTTGGACCGGCAAGTTTTGCATCGCGGAGCAAAAGCAGAGGCAGAGCAGCTGCCGCCGAGCCACCCTTGTTCTCTTGCTTGGAACGTTTAATTTAGCGACTTTCGGGTCAAGAGTTGTTGGCTCCACGACAGCAGCCCCCGGGGAAATTAGTAAAAATTTAGTACGTGTATATTACTAAGTAAAGAGTGAAATAAAAAAAGCGAGTCCAACTATTTTCAGCGGTGCTGTTTGTCATACATAAAAATGCAAACAACGAAAACGGGGTTGCGGAAAAGCAGAGCTCAGTGAATCTGAGCATTCGGAATAAATCAACAATTCAACACGGTTTGCGTTTATTTTAGCGCAAATGACGTTTTATTGGTTTTAAAAGGTCACATGCAAACGCTGCTGGGGTGCTTTAATGTTGTGTAAAGCCAAACGTGATTCGTTCAGTTCTACTTTTGATGTTTATACTTTTTGAAAAAGCATTTAAATACATGAGAGTGATACCTGCAAAATAAATATTTTACTACGAAATTTGCAGTCAAATGCACAACCATAGTACATGAAAATGGTTCAATTAAACGATTGAATAAAAAGGGGGAATTTTATAGAACTATGCTCAAAAAATTATGAATGGGACAAAGTATGAAAATGACAATTTTAAAATTTTGTGTAAATTTCTGGAGAAAAATGAAATTAATTTCGTTAAATAACCAATTTAAAGTTAAGGATAAATTAAGCTTTAATATTTTATTACTTCAGGTTTTCATAATACGAAAATAGTAAAAATTCTGCTGTAAAATTGAAAATAATTCTGGACAGAACAAAAACTTAGTCAACCGAGGCTTCGGTGGATGGAGTCTTTTTGATCTCGGAAGTTTTAGCAAAATTCTTGCTAGTGGTGGTGCCGTTTTGTCCATCAATCCTTTTTTTTTATCAAATAAATTGTTTTCCACACTTAAATGTAAATAATAATTTGGACAAATAAATATTAATAATGAAGTGTGAAATAATCAGAACGTTGATAGTTGATATCTTTTTGCAATTGAATTTAAAAGGCCAAAAATATCTTTATCGTGAACTTTTTTCAGCACACAAATTATTCAATGGCTGCTTTAATAGCGCTTTAACGTGTGTGATAATTTGATAAACAAATACAAATGCGGGTTTCCGTTTGAGGCTCACGCACCTCATTCACAAAAAGCCCACAGCGGGTGGCGAATTAAAACCCTTAAGCCGACGCAGGAAACTCCGTCGTTCATTTCCAAGCTCCTTATTCAGCAAACGAAACCGGTCATGGAACGAAAAACCAGCGCATACAAAAAACCGACTCCCTTGGTCGGGCAAAATTCACTAGCAGAGAGAAAGAAAGGGTTGCTTGCTACGAATATTTATAGAGCGGGGGTGGTTTGCACACAGCAGAAAAAGTCAATTTTTCCTCGAGCTCATAATTTGAGGCGCAAAGGCAAATAAATTCGGGCGGCGCCAACTGCCCCGTTTTGTGCTCGACCGCACAGATGTGCTGGGGTGTGCGTGCGAGCGAAGTCCCGCGTGTAATTTTCAATTGCAGGCACGTCCGTGAATACATAGTCGGCCTAACAAAAGCGAACAAAGGCAAAACCGGTCTCGCTTTCCGCCGCCAAAAAGAAGAAAAAGCCATTTTCTCCGAATAGATTGGAAGTTGCGTGAAATGCGCAGTTGAATTTATCTTTCTTTTTCCTTGCGTCAAATACAAAAATGTGTGATTTGTGAGATTTTGAAAATAAAAAAAAAATCTACTCACCGCCTTCGTCGGTCATGACGAGGACCGTCGTGCTGGGACCAGGACCTTCGGGGTTGAACACCTGCAGGGACACCAGGTACTGAGAGTAGACTTCCAGATTCTGGATCGTGAAACTCTGAAAAATCAAAAACATTATTAACGAGCAAGCCATGTACCTTCAATAATGATATTATTTTGAAGAAAAAAAAATATCCAAGCGGCAGAAAAGCGAGGTGCTCAGATTTCTTCCTATGGGAACCCAAAATTGAAAAAAAAAATTGAATTTCGCTTGGAATCAATTTCGTCATTTAAATTATGTTGAAAGAGTGAAAATGAGGCAAATTATCTGCAAAATTCACATTTTTTTTTTTTAGCAAAAGTTATTGCAAGTTCCATGAAAAAACTTATACATATGTGTTGATAATTAAATTATATTATTTTTATTAAGAAATAAGTTTTATTAGAGATTAAAAAACTTAAATTTTGCAAACAAGAGAAAATCAAAGCAAGGAAATGTACAGTCTGTCAATAATTCTCTTATCTGCAACTGACATATTATCAAGAGGATGATTAACTTTTAATATTATCACTTTGTATGCAGTCGATTGCGTATTTTTCTTTTGATGTTTTAACCCTTTGCCTCTCCAATGCAGGCTGGGAAATTATATTGATCAAGTTTATTTTTATGGGGCAGTCCTGATTCTGACACATTTTACGAGTGGCACTTTTTTATTTGCTAAAAAGATTTTTATTTTTATAATTGATTTTGGTCCATTATAAAAATGCGAACGCCACAAAAACGAACTACAATCTACTATACGTAAAAATATTTATCTTCTTGAACTTTTTTTATTATTATCATCGTTTATTCTTCACAAGTAGTCATACATGAAATCGAGAAAAAAAATTTTTGTTGGAGTTTTCGCGTCTGATAAAATAATATGAGCAGAAAAAATGACTTGTATGAAGTTTGTTGTTAGAGAATTCATGATATTTTTATTTAGAGTAATACATGATTTTGAACCTTTAGGGAGTGGCTGTCAAAATTAGCATTCCTTCAATCGACTTAATTTGAGGCGAATGAAAAATAAAATAAAAAATGGAATAAAATATTTTATAGTTATAAAGAAAGTTCTAGAAACAAAAAGCTATGTGATCGCCTTTTAATTTGAACATCAATTTAAATAGAAAATAGTCTAAAATGTAATAATGACGCTCAAATATGCACTTATTTAAGTTGGAATTTGGGTTCAAAAAGTTGAATATATTACTAGCTTTTTTCACCTATTTTGTTATTTTAAATGTTATTTAAAACCAATTTTTAAACATTATATTTCATCTTAAATCACATTTTCTTCCGTAGAAATTACCAATTGAACATTTTTTCCCCTAAAGATCGCCTAAAGCCTAAAACATAATATTATGTGATACAAAATACGATCACCTCTTTTCAAATGCCCAACAAATACTGCATTTACCCCGAAATTTTTATGAAGATAAATAAATAAGAACATTTTACGTCTTCCACGAAAATTATAGAAAATTCGGCACAAAACACTACAATTTTTTGTTAAAATCAGACTTTGTTTTTAGAAGATTCTATCCACTTTAAAAGTAAAAAGCACTAAACATCACTCTTCAAGATAATCACACTGCTTCTTATTCAGAGCAAATAAGAAAGTGCGCGTTGTCAGAAGTAGAGGCTTATCATTGGAAGCGTATGTGTGTAATTTAGTGGCGCGACTCTCCTCGCATCCCCTCCATTGAGGAGCGAGCGCGCGTAATGCTGCAAAAACGGCCGTCATCAAGGGATTTTCCCAGCCGAGTCTGCTTGCTATCTAGGGGAAGAAATAAGGCCCACGCCTAATTGGAGTGCATCAAAAATTACGAGCCTGTTGTGCAATCGAGGCGAGCGAGCGAGCGAGCGCAAATTCTCAGTAAAATAAAATCGGATTGCCGGCGGCGGCAGAGGAAAAAGGGGCTGCTGCCGCGCGCCCCATAAAGCGGCGATACTCACATTAACATTTGGGTCCCTGATATAAATTTCATTTAAGGGCTGAGCAGATCGGTCTCGCTGGCGGTAGGCGAGTCTGTACCCGAGGAACTCGCCGTGGATCGAGTCTTTTGGTGGTGGCCGCCAACTGATGTGGATCGCGGTGGCGCTTGTGTTGTGAGCGGTCGTTATCGTCGGCTTGCCGTCAGGTACTGCAAAAAATACAAACACACAATTTTAAAAGCTTTCCTTTTGGATGGCTACGGAAAAAAATATTTTTGTTACAAATGGTAAAAGTTTAGAAAAAAATAACCCTGATGGTGTTGAATAAAAATAAAATCCAATATGTCTGTCATTTTTTAATGTGTATTCCGATTTGGAAATTTTGTGTGTGCCTTTCATTAGTGAAAATTGATGTTTGAAATCACACAATTGAAAAATGTTTATTAAAAAAATGAAAAAAATTAAAAAAAAAAAAATATATTCAAAATTTTACCTAAAATCACATGTTTTTGGAAAAAGGTTAACTAATTTAAAAAAACAACTTTTTAATGTATTTGGGCAAAAAATATGTTTAAGAAAATGAAAACTGCCTAAAACACTGAATCTGAATTTCAATATAAAAAATAATCACTAGTGTACTTGTGTTTGGATTCTTTCTGCTGTGAAAATCTAAATAGTCAAATTTTTCACACACAAAATCACCTATATATTCCCCAAGCTGAGTAATAATGAACAATTTTAGTGAATAAATTAAATAAATAGCACAAAGCTTAACAACTCAATGAAATTTTAAACAATGCACAAACAACAGATGAAAGGAAAATTGACGTTAATTGAGATTTGGATTTTATTTATATTATTAAATGATTTTATTAAAGTTTTTATAAATCTGCTGAATCTCTCACTTTATAATCGATTTTCATTTCATAAATTTATCTTTTCTCTGTTCTCTAATAAACAGAAAAAAAATACTGTACATAAAAAGTACAGAAAATATTTAATACTGTTAATTTCTACTTTTCATTTTGATCAGTTCAATTTTAAAATATTCCTTTAATTTCCCACCCGCACCTTGCTGGATTTGGAGATCAATTGTATGGAATTTTATAAATTCTGAAAAGTCCTACAAAGTATTTTTTAGTGCTGTTTAAATTCACTTTAATATTCACCAATGGAATTGAATCTTTTCAACCATTAACTTAAGGCTGGATAAATAATTTATATCATACAAGGAGCAAAACTGAAAAATTAATTACAATTTTAATGACACTGATCTTCTCCAGCAGACCATACCACATTTTATTCAACATGTCGACCTTGAATAAAATTTAAATTAAGTTGACGTTACGTTTTTCCCCCCACGCAAATTATACATTGAAGCGAGTTTTTACACTGAATATGCTTTATTAAAATGCCTGTGTAGAAATTCCATGTTGAATCTGGGCTTAATAATAATCACTTCACGCGGGAGCCGCCGCCACGCACACCTCTGAAGTGTTGCGTAATATTTTTCATATTTTTTGCAACGCGTAGATCCGAATATCGCACCCGTGCACGCGCTTTCGTAATTAATTTGTAAAAAGAATTAATCCCCGGCGCTAACAAGAGTGGCAGTCCTCTGGCGATGCGAAACGCTTAAGCCGCCAAAGGATTAGTTGAGAAGGGACGAGAGAATTTTGCAGCCGCACTGCAAATACCAACAAAAGTGCCTTAGTTTAATTCCTTGCATCACCCAGGACGGATCTCGGCAGCGTGGCCACTTCTGCGTATACCGCGCAGCTTTTCCAGTTGGCCCCGACATGCCGAGGAATTTTCGCAACTTCTGTGGACTGCGATAAATCTCAAATTTTTATTTTGACGCTTTCAAAATTTCTACACGGCGAGGAATAAGAAAAAAAAAAGAATTCTGTTGAACAATTTACTTTCCTCTTGAATTTTTAGTTAATGTAAGAGCTTAATTTTAATGAAACCATTTAAAAATATAAAATAATAAAAAAAATAAAAATAAAATAGCAATTAAAATTGATGTTTATTTTAATTTTGAAACTATTTTCATTAATTTTGGTAAAATAAATTTATATTTTTTAAAATGTTTTTTGCAATTTAATCTGTTTGAATTTTCAAACCTGGGTTCTTCTTTAAAAGTAAGGAATTTTTTATAGAATATAATTTCTTTTAATTTAAAGAGCCTGCTGCCCTGAAAATATAATTATAGACCTAGATTATGATGACTATTTATTTATGCATCAATTCTTATTTATTTTAGTTATCAAGGCCAATTCAATTGATAAGTCGTGGTTTAGCGGCCATAAATCAGTCTTGAAAACTATGTTTTCTCAAATTTAACGTTGTTTTAAATGAGAATTTAATGAAATAATATTTCCGCGTGAAATGTTTCCTACTAAAATTAATGAAAAGTTCAACAAATCAACTTTATATCATCCATATTCAGTTTTTATTATTTTGTAAATTAGGGTTTTAGGTGAGGTGGCTTTAATTAATTAGATTGTAAGTTTAATTTAAAAATAAGAAAGTACTATTGAGAGAAAATTGTCCTAAACAATATGACTTTGGATATCAGCTACCGAAAATTTTAAACTCAATTATTTAATTTTCCAAATGACATAAATGAATTATGCTAATAAAAATTGATTTGATAATAAAAAATAACAATAATTTCTTTAATTTAATGTTCATTTTTTTATAATAACTTAAAATTATAGATTATTTTAATTTAAATTGGAAACCAATTCTATTTTATTAAACTCAAATTTTGTTTGAATAAACCAAAGTTAACGCAAACACGAAAGTACAGCCACGTGGAGCGTCCCAGGGTAATGCAGCTTCAGTCTACGACAATCTAGTGAAATAATTAGTGAAACGTATATAATTCGCTCCGTGCACGAGCAAATTGCCTCGAAAGTCGTCACAGGGGTCCGCCTGCCAAGGCCAAAGTTTATCTCACAGGGCTAGATGTATATAAATTCGTCCTAACCAAACCGAGGCGCGCATTTCATTCAAGCAAATTGGTGTTTGTTCTCGCTGCGGCTCATGTTAAAGAGGACGAATGAGTTTGCTCTCATCAATTATGGAGCAGCGGCCACGCATGGGCTTGGGCAACAGGCGGCCACGCACAGTCCTAAAATCATTTATTCATTGGTCCGTGGAGTGCCCCAATCTGCCTGTGGCCATTACAAAGAGTGTTTGCACCGCCTCGGTTAATTATGGCGGCCGACGGCTTTTTTGATCAAATATGCTGGGCCGGCGTGCAATTTCGTTTGTCGATTTTTGCGTCCGAGCCTCGCGGATTAGCATATAATTACGCGGACACGCAATTTTCACGCGGCGTTTGATACTGCCCGTCAGCAAAGTTAATTTAGACTCGGTGCGGCCGCTTAAGGCCAAATTGAATTTGATCACGGTTGATGCTTACTTTGTATGAAAATCAAATAGCGATTAGGTATTTATCGACGGGTTACCACGTAAAAATGTAAAATTTTTGTTTACGATAAATAATTTAAAATTGGCATTATGCACTATTATAGATATTTTTCATGGCAAACTGAATAAATAATAAGTTCAACGTTTAATTAAATTATTTATCTTCAGTTTAGTTGTATTATTTGGAAACTTTTAGAACTGATCTGCCCTCAAAATCTTTGATGACTTATGAATTATTTTATGAAAATTTCCTGGTTATATTATCAAAATTAAAATTAGTTTTTAATTTTAAAATATGTTTTAAATCTGGAAGGTAAGAAACAAACAATCTAATATTGTTCATTATCATTTTCAGGATAAATAAAGTTTGAAGTTTAAAATAATGTTATAAAAAAAAAAATTTGCAAAAAGATGCGACTAAAGCTTAAATCAACCTAATTTCATTTAGAACAGGTGCAGACAAATTTTTTGGTGGTGAATGAGATGAAAATGGCTTTCACTTTCCAACGATTCTGAACTTTGACAAGCATGAATAAATAAATAAATACATAAGTGAATCGCCAAACTTTAATTTTACTAAAAAATAATGAGTGTTTCTGTTACAAAACCATTGCTGGCGTCGCATTCAGGAAAAAATCCATAGTCGTAAAGTTTTTAAGTTTAAAACATTTTCCAGAATAAGAATAAGATTGATTCAGTTGATCAAATGTTGATTTTTTTTTGCATTACATTAAGACAAAGCTGAGTCAAAGTTACAAGTAGGGTTGTGAAACTTAGACGATCGACTATTTTTTTCTGGGCTTTGGTTTGGCCTGAATTCATCAAATGTGCACGAATCATGGAATTTCAAGACGATTGACACCCACTGAAACCGTCTTAAACGCCCAAACCGTCTAAAAGCGTCTAAAAATCGACTAAAACAGTCTAAAAGTGTTTAAAACTCACCATTTCGTCTCCTGGTGCACACAATATTCAAAAGTGAACAGATTTTTGTTTACCGCGCATTCTCGGGAGTCGGGACTTTAAAAAAAAAATTCATGGTTTCTGGCGACCATCTACAAATCTTGGACAGGTCATTCTGAGCATTTCTAGCTAGTTTTTGTGAACAGTGATTTTTACCCCCTCACCCCTAGATCCACCCTCGGCGACTTCTTTTTACAAGCCAAATTTTCAACCTTGGAAAAACAGTCTAAAACCGTCTAAATTGGATAAAAACCGTCTAAAAACAGTCTTTTCTATGAAAAAAGTGTCTAAAATAAGTCAACTATTTTAGGCAAAAAAAGCGTCTAAGTTTCACAAGAATTGATAGCTGAGCATAAAAGTAAAATTTGTTTTACTATAAATAGATTGTATTCAACAATTAAATGTAAATAATTTCACGTAAAAATTAGGACAAATAAATAATAATAATAGTATAATTTGAAATTTGATTCATTTCCTGAAATAGATTTTACCAAATATTTCACTCAACTACGAGAGAATAATAATAAAACTAAAAGCCATTAATTCGATTTCCCTTTGGTGGGATTGGTATCGAGAGCGTGGGTGTGGCGCCGATTCAGCGAACTGTGACATTATTCACGGTTGGGTATGTGTACGTAGCTCATGCACCTAGCAGCACGTGCATGCATATGTACCATTATATCGCGCGCGCTCTGGCATTATTGATTCGCTGTGCTTTTGCACGCTCGGGAGTAATTATGCGCCCCTGAAATAATGGGAGGCAACAGACCCCAATTTATTATCGATCCCCAATCGCTCGTTAAACGGCAGGGCAGGCATGCAAAGATTTCCGCCATTATTCATCGTCGCTGCCCTTTTTGCCAACAGTGGCCTTTTACGGTTGAAAAAAAAACAACTGCCTCGTTCGAAAGTGTCCGCAGCAGATGATTCGCCGCCTGAAATAATAAATAAACAGGTCTGCTGCGCTTTGTTTGTCTTTCGAAAGCTTTTAACTCTCCCGTCTGATATTACAGTTTTTGCCATCATCATCATCCGCGGCTGCGAAAAAACAAACAGGCATTTTCTGTAATGATATTAATCAAAACGAGCGCCACTGTGACTTGTTCAATTTGGCTCTAGCCACGGTCATTTGCAATTAGCTTGCGTGCGAGTGCGAATCACGCGAAAACGCGGACAAAGCTTTGTGTTTGTCCGAATCGACTAACAATTAGCTCCACTCGAAACAGTCAAAGCTGCTGCCTGCTGTTGTCGGATTTACAGCAAATTTTCTATTTCAGATATGAATTATGCAGGTGATTATTGACTAAGTAAAATTTAATTCCAATGTACCGCCCAGCAGATTAACAAAGTGATTTGGAATTTTGTGTTTACTCATCTGGCAATATACAAAAGGATTGAAATAATTTTCCTCTCCAAGTTTCATAATTTTGGAATTGGAAAATGAATGAAGCAGAAAAAGAGTTTGAGCTTGTACTGGAAATGAAAATATTCGAAAACACTCTATGAAAGAATAAAAATACAGAACGAAACATGTTCTAACTATCATAATTCTGTATTTCAAATTACTGTCAAATTTGAATTATTTTATTTTAATTTATATTGTATAAAATTTAAAATTATAGGATTTATTTAATTTGCTTGAAATCAACGCTCCTATTTAATATGCATTAAAAAATTTTGAAAATTTTTTATTTTAGCTACTTTAAAAATTAAATAATAATTTTGATAATATAATTAATTACTTAACTGGCTCTATCAGTAACAATTGTTTAAATCTATCAAAAATCGTCAAGTGTTTTAATCTTTCAATTAAAATAAGATTCTCTCCACTTTTTAATGAGATAACATGAGACATAAACTAGATTACCTGTGACAAAAAAGGTGTGAATATTTTAAAACAATTTTAATTGTTAAATCCGGTTAAATCTTTCCCATCAATATTTTAATTTTTTGAACATAAATCCTAAAAAGCGGCTTTTTACCAAAATAAATTGAACCGCATCTCTATAGTTCCTCTGGTGCTCATATATATGGTGCATCTGTATTTGGGTAGTTGAAAGCCCAAGAGAATTTGGCTTACAAAGAGAGAGATTTGTTTCACTGACCTTCCCTGAGGGTGACCATGTAGTAGGACTCCTTGCTGGGCTTTGAGGGTCCCAAGGCGTTGACGGCGATGATGCGGAAGCTGTAGACGGTGAATGGACGGAGTTTGGCCACCAGGTAGCTCGTTCGGTTGTCGCTTAATTCGATGCCGCTCATGTCCTCGTCCCAGTCGCCATTCTCGCCGACCCTGTTGAAAATTGAATTGTTCAAATGGAGCGTGGAAAATAGCTAAAAAAAAAATTCAAAGAACCGTGAAAACCTTTATTTTTAAGGAAAACTTTAAGCATAAATAATTGCAGTGCCTTTCAAAACAATTTTGCTCATCAGCTTATTGATGTTAAGAAATTTGTTTTTCCAAATTTTATTTCAGAATCGATTTCAGTTAATTTGAAGTTCATTATTTATTTTACCAGAAGGCAATCTTGAGATACAAAAATAGAGAAAAAAAACTAATAAATTTTTCTGATACTGATTTTCTAAAATAGATCTTTTATCCTATTGGTATTTCATAAACAAAAATACAAATTTTTGTAATATAAAAATATCTACATGATTGAGCATTTATAAATTAACATTTGCAAAAATTATTATTTCATTCCTGTATTTTTTATTAATTTTTTTTAATTATTAGAATCCAATCTGGCCAATATTTCTTTCTCTCGCTTTTTCTCTCTGGATGAGAATATTCGGAATTCATGTGCACGTCTGACATTTAACATAGAACAAATTTCAAATATGTGACGCTACCTGATTAACTTGCGAGGAATATTGGAAATTGGAAATATTATTGGCGTCGGTTTCCCCGTATTTGGCAATTTGGGAGCACCGAAGTTTACCTCCGAAGCCTTCCGTTCAATAATTGGAAAAGAGCTTTTTGAGAGAGCGATTTCGTATGCAAACGGTTCCTTTGCACAAAAGTACACGCCCATCCAATCGTCTCTCTCTCAGTTCTGTTTTTTTTTCTCGTCCTCAAGGGAAACGCACCAAAGTGTTTGAATATACGCGAATAACAAAGACGTGGTTGGTTTCGCCACCTCATTTCAACGCCGAAGTAATTAGGAAATTCCGACCACGTTTTCCGCTCAATGGGAGAAATGCCTCCGAGAGTTGCTCAAATTATTGCTTTCGCCCTCGCCAGGGCTGCGTGCGACACGACTCGCTGCATTATTGGCAACGCTAGTTCTCAGCTTGTTTCTTCCACTCTCAAGTTGATATTTGCCGAGCTGCGACTGACAAGGACCAAGTCAAATTTGACTTTTTTCTCTTCCTCTCGAGGGAAACCGTGTCAGAAGCAAGAGGAGGAAAAACTTTTCTCGGCATTAATCTGGAAGAATGGCTTAGGCAAATTTGTGCAAAATAAAGCAGGCGGAAAAAGAGGAGGAAAACAATCAAGTTTGTGGTTTCCACAGAAAAGTTAGGGAAAATTATTCAATTTTAATATACCTTGAGAATGGTGGGTGTAAATATTACGAATCCAAGAAGGCTTTTAAATTTATTGATTTTTTTTTTTACTAATGAATTTTATGTTTTGATGAATTAATACATAAACAAAGCGATTAAATAATACAAATAACAGAACTTTTTATTTAATTCAAAAAATTACTTTTTCTCACAAAAGAAAATTATAGCAAAAGGCTTTTTTCATTGAAAATTGAACTTTTCACATTTTTCATATGGACAAGGGTCAAATTTTTTTGAATTAAATTAGAAATTAATTATTATTATAATTGACAATAGCTGTATTATCGAAACTCAATAGAAACTATGATACGATAATGATTTGAAACAGTACATTTAAAAAGAAATATTAATATAAATAGGTCTGGTGAACCTTCCTTTTCAAAAAATTGGCAGTGCAAATTAATATTATTTTAATGATAGCCCACAGCATCAAAACAAACAAACTATCTTTGTTATAGTAAACAAACATTTGAAGTTTCAATCATTAACACGGAAAATGGAATGAATTTGCAGAAAAGCTGCAAATTGATTACCAACAAATGATGGTATTTATATCATCTCTCCACTGTTTCGTGGCTTTGAGAAAGTGTCAATTCTTAATCCGCGTCTTTAAGTAAAGAGGAAAATGCCGAAAGCGGAAAAAATGATGAATTCCTCGGCGCACGTCAGCTTGTCAGTGGCGGCATTCAAAAGAGAGAAAGGCATTGTCGTTGTGTTTACCATGGCAAGAAAAGTGCGCCGCCGTGTACATACCTAATGCTGATGATGTAGTGGAGAATGTGGCCCGTTTGAATGTCTTGCGGCGGCGCCCACGACAAATTGACTGAGCGGGACGTGAAGCCCATGATCAAAGGTCGGCCTGGCGGCGGAGGCACGTCTGCAACAACAAACGCAAATCAGCAATATTCAAGCCCAGGGACAAAGTGGCCCACCAGGGACGTCGCACACGTGTGCACAAAATTTTTAGAAGCTCTTCTCAGTCAGAGAGAAGTGAAGAAAGCAGGAACTTTTTATTTTGGATCACCAAATGCAAAAAGTGTTGAGAATAAAGTTTAAAGAAACAAAAATCCTTGCAGAATTGTATTAATTGGATTTTTTTGAATTAAATGTCTTTAAAAAGAAAAAAATCCATGTAAAATAATTTTGAAAACAGTAACAAAAAACTAATAAAACAATGAAAAGGTATTTTTTTTTATGTTTCATTTAATTTTAGTTAAAAAAAAAACTATGAAATTAATAATTGGATTAAATTAACAAGAAAAAGTTTTTTAATTATAATTGAAAATAATGCAGAAATAAGTCTGACAAATTAAATTTAATTTTCATTTTATAGATTTTTTGGAAGACAAAATACTAAAAAAATTGTAAAATATTCTTTTGTTTTTTAATTTCTTTTTTCGCTTTTGCTATATAGCAAAATAAATTTGCAGCAACAATAGAAAAATTATAATTAATCAATAAAAATCCATAAAATGGACACAAAATAGTCAGCATAGCTATATAACGTTTTTTTTTTATGTCAAAAAGTTGCTTTTATTCTCACATGTTTTGAATTCATTACATGACATAACTTGCAAAGATCCTTTGTTACATTGAAATTGGGAGAGAATTAAAAAAAAAATCGAAATAACATTTTTTTTATACAACTCTAAATTTCAAATTTGGTAAGTATAATTCTTTTAAACAAAATTTGTTCTATTAATTTCATTTTTTTTTCACTCACCTTGAATGACGAGCTTGACGATGGCCTCGGGTGTGGGACGGTTGTTGACCAGGCAGATGTACTCGCCGGTGTCCTGGCTGAGCACCGGGTGCAGGTTGAGGGCGAACGTCTCCGGGTGCAGCGAGATGCGGCCCCGGTGCTCCCACACGGTGGTGCTCTCGCCCATGAACTCGACCAACTTGATCTCGGCGGCGCCGGACGAACCGCATCGGATGCAGAACCACTCCATGTTGATGACAATGGACTGCTCGCCGACGCCTGGACACGAGAGGCTCGCGTTCGCTCCCGCTTTCATGAACACTTTTTCTCGACGAAGGTGGGGAATATCTGCGGACAGATTAGGGAAAAAAGTTAATTGTTTACTTCAGAACAAAATCAGATTGATATAATTTAAGTAATAAATAATACAACAGTCAAAAACTTTTAAATATTAATAATAATTGATAATGTTTTACAAAATAATTTAATTTACAGAATAAGATTCTCTTTTCCATTATTTTATTTTCATTACTATACATTTCAAATAAAAAAAATTAATAACTTTTTGAAAGATTTTATTTTACTTTTCAACGTTGAATTTATTTACATTTTTAATAAAAAGATAAATAGGGATGTGAAATTTAGAAGATTGTATTTTTTCTGAACTTCCATTATCGCCTGCCTGCATGAATTTTTAATAATAAAGGCCCAAAAGGACTTTTATGATCATTGACAGTCACTTTCTGCAAAACTCTGCTAACGTTTACTCCCTCGGGTGGACTTCAAATAAAAATGCTGAGAAATGAAACTCAAATATTGATTTTGATTCGTTTCTTTGCTTCATTAAGGCGAAATTCAACATATATTCTTTGATTTGAAGGAAATTTTGCTATTTTAATATTAAATGTCAATCTTTTAACCCTGTAATAGTTTTAAAACTGTTTAAAAAGCCACTTACTCTTCCAAAAATCATCTATAAATAGTTAAATATATAATTATTGTTGCTAATTTGCCCACATTGTTATAAAAATTCATTGTTTACATTCAATTGTTGGAAACAATTTATTTAATAAAAATAATTGATGGAAAAAACTGTATAACCATAAATGGGCTATTTAAATATTAAAAAAAAGATGTATTATAATTTTCATTTCTAAATTTCTGGTGAATAAAATCAACCACTGCAAAATTTTTAAGAAGAGGGAAATTCTAGAGAGTGTAAAATTCCAAAATAATGATAAATCAACACACCAAAATTTAGCAAGAAAATTACAAAGGTAAATTTTGGACGCTAAAAATTTTTGTTATTTGATTTAACTTCCGTGTTTCAATTTTTCAGAATGAGAGAGCAAACAGAACTAGTTGTAAAATTGCAAAAGTTGCAGGGAGTTGAATGTAGCTCGGAGTATAAAGTTTTGAACAACATTCGTCAAACTACATCATTTGTTATGAAAACAAGATTGGAATATACACGCCGCGTTCATCAAGGAAGCCGTTCGTAATTCCAGAAAGAGACGAACTCATTTTTGTTCCCCCAAGCAGTGCGCGCAAGCTTTGCTGTCAATAAATGAGTCTGCACCTCAAATTGGCGCCTATCAAACTTATGTCCCCGGAGGCGGAATCTTCACTCGCAGAACTTGGTTAATAGAGGCGGAATGAGTGGCGCGACTCGTGACACTCAATTTTCTTCCACCATAGATGGTCTGGCGTGGGTAGCGGAAGTTCATCGATTCGTTTTCCAGGGGAGAATAAAAGTATGAAAAGGTGGGAAATATATTATTTTTCGTTGAAACAAAGCGAGGTCTTTTGGCGTCGAGCCGATTATTAAAAAGTAACGAAAGCGAGTCGCAGTTTGAAATTGTGTTTTCAGACAATGGAGGAGGCACGAATAATTGAACGCGTGTCAAAGAGCTCAGCAATTCTTGTCCGTCATAAAAGCGAGAGATCGGGATTTTTAGTGCGCACCGTAAATAAATACAGCCCGTTTCGGCACGTGTCTCGACCAGCAGTTGACCGAGCTGATTTTTGTTCTTCCTCCTCCTTTTTTCCGTCACAAGACATCGCTTCCATTTGGCTGAGCGCCAAACCAAAAAACATCGTTCCAATTGCACCTTTCTTTCGTTTTGCCCTTTGAGGCGCGCCACTGATTGCAAAACTGAAGCGGAGAATAAAAAATTTGAAAGAAAGACAAAAGGTAAAAGACAAATTTCTTGGAAACTCCTACACACAGAGACCAAGAGCAGTGCCATTTACAACTATAAACAATTTTACACAAAAAAATTAATGGTTATTTAGAAGAAGAAAAGAAATAAAAATTTCACTTTAACATAAATAAATATTAGAATTTAAATAAATATAAATATCTCAACAACTACTAAAATTTAATATTTTTTACTAAAATAATGTATTTTCATTAACACAAAATAAATGTAAATTGGAAATCTCCTTCGCCTCAAAACTTTTTAATATCTTCATATTGTGTTACGGTTAAAGGAAATTTGATCTCCTGAAATCGGATCATCCCACAAAGTTTTTCTAGCCCCAGCCCATTCCGCACTGCAAAAGTAAAGGTCAGATGTCGGATCAGGTATCACTTTTTTCCGTTGTGAAATCGTCCAAAAGCATCACAGTTTGAATATGCTTTGATTTCCTCAAAATTAATAACTTATTCAATTTTTTTTTTAAATTTTGAATGAAATGTATCATGAGCAAACTTCAATCTTAATTATTGTACAATATTACGATCGATTCCCAAAATTCATCGCATTATGCATTCTTCTTTTCACTAAATGAAAGTAGGTTCCACACAAAATGTATGTATGCAACCCGTGGCGCACGGCGGAAGGACTGGTTGCCTACTCTTGGTTGGTGGGCGTCGCCCGGGCAACGAACCGAGATCAGAGCGTTGCTGATTTCCAGTGTTTGTTTGCTTTGTGACACTGATCAAAAGTGGAATTTTTGTTTGTGTGTGTATGTGGGAGATAAAAACATAAATAAAAACAATAAATGTGAACCCGAGGCGATCGACGAACGGGGAAAGAGCAGATTATTAGCGCACCGAGGTGAACCTCGCAGAGAAAATACCTCAAACAAACAGGCTGTTATTCTTTACGCTACGTATTTGTCTTGCTTTTGTTTGCGTTGAAACGCTTGTTTGCCCCACCCCGAATATAAAACAAAGAATTCTTTGTTTGTGGATAAAGGAATTATTTCCGAGCTGAAATATAAATCATAAATGGAAATATTTGCGTTTAAAATTTTTCTATAGTACTCGCAGTCTCTCATTAATACTCTGTAATACGCGTTTATAATTCTTTTTTTCCATGAAAAATATCATATTAACAGTTTATGAAAAAAAAATGCCCCTTTTAGATTGTAAGCGATTTTTATTTCACTTTATTTAACCAATTTTTTTAAATCCAGCATTGTTATTTAATTTAAAATTACTTGTAATGTAATTCATTTGTGAATAAATAAATTTCATGCGATATTATTTTAAAGATGAAATTTTTCCAGAATTTTTAATTTTTTCATCGCACATAAGAAATTACCGTTCCACGTAAAAAATTTGCACCTGGAGTCTCTTACAAATTGCTTGTCAAGGCGGCTGCAGCCCTAAACGCGTTAATTAGTCGAGCGTTTGAGTAATTGAAGCGACTCAGGTGTGCACGATTTAGTTACCATCTTAGGCCTTGATTCATTATTTTCGCTCTGGCAGGTTTGCGAGTGCCCTCAAAAAATGGTCGCTATTTGCGCTGTTTCATTAACAAAAAATGTGCTCGGCGATGTGAAAAAATGTAGAGCAAAAAATATATTATTTATAAGCGTTTAAATTTGTGATATTTACGTCCTTGCTAGGATTTGAACTTCTTTGCATGGAATAATTGTTGGTCAAAGTTAAAAAAATTCATTTTTTAATTGAAAAAATACTTCCTAAAAAAACAATTAATTCAGTAAAAAATTATAATTTTCAAATAAATTGTTTTCAACGTTTGAATTTCAACAATGTGATGTAACAATTTGGAAAAATAAACAACAATAATAATAATTAAAATAATGGTAAAGCCAATGGGAAAAAATCGTTGAAAGAAAAGTCATTCGTCCTGAAGGTTTTATTCAAATTTTGAAAAAATGATCCATTTCAGTAATTGAGACTAGAATATATGATTATTAAAAGTAATGAAAAAAAAACACTCACACATACATTTTGTGCGCTTTTTAATCTTTTATTTACGAATTTTCACCCGCTTTGTTCATAAGAAAAAATTTAAAAAAAAACCTCTCCATTTGATCCGAGAATTTGAACTTCCGCAAATTAATTATTTTCCACATCCGACTTTTTATTTTCTTCTTTACTTCCTACGACAAAGTGTTCTTTTAATTTCGGAAGCGATGACGAATTTGTTTGTTTTCAACCCCAGACAAAATTTACACCACTCAGTCAGCCCCACGCGGACTCGCAGTAAATTTTTTACGATCCCGTGCTTACGTCCGCCGCTGATTTCCCCCTCATTAATTTTTACGCACGCTTTTTGCGCAAATGGACAGAAAAAGCGCCACACCAGTTGCTATGGCCCGTTTCTCTCTTCCTCCTTTTTTTTTTTAAGTGCCGCGAAATAAAAGCGGAGCAAGAGATGGTCGTGTCTCGTAAAGTCGTCTTACGATTATTGACTCGCCGCCGGTCCGCCAGCAAATCTGCGACTCCTGCTTTATGCCCCGGGCGCCAAGTCTTGAGAAGGTAATTAACCGCAGATTTTCATTAGGACCGCCGAATTTGCATAATTGCGGACAAAACCGACGCGCAGCCCGAGTTGGAAAACTCGATTAGCAGGCCCTGAAGTTTCTCTCTCTCTCTCAACTCGTCAAGTCGAATAATTTAACTTTCGGAGACGATTTAAATTAATTTCGGCGCAATCCGTTTCATTTAATGGGAACTTTTAAAACGAGACGAATTATTTTGACAAGGCACGTTTCAGCGAGGAGAGACGAGGAAAGATTTGTCGGCGGGCACGTGAGAGAGAGAAAAAAGGTATGAAAAGTTTGCTCGGCGCACAAATGGACGACGCGGTGGCCAACAATGAGAAATGGACCAGCTTTTCTTCTTTTTCTCGCTGCGGGCATCAAAATGATGACCCATCAAACCGCAGAGAAATGATTTCTTTTTATGTCCTCGCCAGGAAAATGCGCCGACGGCAAGGTATTGTGTTACACGTACGATGATTCCACACCCTTAGCTTAGAGAAAATGTGATCCGAACCAACTTTTATATCTCACATTTCGTTAAATTTAATGTTATCAAAAAGATATTGATTAAATATTAAATTATATTCGCATTGATAAAAAAACGG